AATACTTAGTCGTGCACTTCGTTTCAAATCTGAAAATGTCATGTGTGTATTTTTGCTAACTACATACTAAAAGTTTCTTACCAGATGAGCCAGTAAGACTTAGAGCAAGATGTTAAGTTTCTTCAAACAGCAAGGTTTGTTCTACTTGAGGCACATATAATTATTACAAATACTGAATACATGTATTTGAATCTTATTGCAATTGTAGTCATGTACTAAAATGTAAAACTGGATGCTTAATGTTCAAATTTATTCATAATTTTGTACCTTTAGGCAATAATATTTCTTTTGGCATTTGACGTGACCTCTGGGGTTAGCCTCACAGTTTCACTGTTTCCATGACATTTTTTAATTCACACTTGTTATTAAAAGTTGACATTAAAATCCATCAGTGAAATGTCAACAGGTGTGAAATGTCACAGGAGAATGCAAATTCTGTCTGAATAAAGATTAAAATTATGTGATTGAGCACAGCACACATTACAAAATAAACAGATGAAATGTAAAAAAATTGTTTAGATTGTTTAGAAGAACATTATAACTAAAGTTATCAAATTGGTTGAATCTAGTGGCTTTCCCATCTTTATGAATGCACTGTTTAGTAGATACATGTTATTCTAAACAAGTTTCACACACACTAAACTGTTCTAATGTGGTTGTATTTTCTCAGCTACCACTAGTGCCACTTCAAGAACAGATTTTTTGTTATTTTATTTGTTTGTTTTATTTTATTCTGAGCAGTTTTCTAAGAACAGAAATATTTTTGTTGAGAAGTGAAAAATTTTGTAAACCCCCATATTCAAATCCTAAAATAATCTCGAAGACAATGTTTTCTAGGCTTAATTTTTCAAACATTTGTTTTGTTTAAAAGTAAATCTACCTTATAACTATCAAAGCAAAGATATCTACATGTAATTGTAAATGTATATGTACATGTTATGTACATGTAAAGTAAAGCCTCTATATCAGAACACCTGGCCAATCTAAATACTTCCCAATTGGAACACTTTTTGGTCCCTTCTTTCTTCCCATTGACTACCATGAACACATACCAATTTGAACAGTTATTTTGAAAATGAACCTGTATAAAATGAACACTATCCATAGAATATCACATGTTTCATACAAAGTTGCTCAAATACTTTATTTCAATGATAGTTTTAGTGTGATATCCAAAGTTTTGGGAAAACTTTAATGGTTGCAATCATAGGGTATCTTTCTAACATGACTAACAAATTTATTTGAGTCAAATTTTCAAATTATTGAATGCCATAAAGTTATGTGGTCAATAGAACTATAAATATTTATTGAAAATATTCTTCAAAATCCATAATAAGGTGCAAACACCTCAATATGTGTGCAGACCTTCTTATCTGAACACTTTTGGCATTCGGATTAGACAGGTGTTACTGCTTAGGCATAGCCAGGGGGGTAATATGAAAATAGAACCATTAGATAGAAGAAGAAAGGAGATTGAAAATGCTTTTTATTTGCTCAATTTTGAAGGAAGTTACATCAATTTTTGTAAAATTATAAAATTAAAAACAAATCTTAACATTTTTTGGGCTCGCTTATGCCACAATCGCACCCCCCCCCCCTCAATGCAGGTGATGAAAATTCTGGCAATTTGGTTGGGAGACGTCATTGAAGACAATCCTGCATTTTGATGCCATATCTCTCTCTTACTTGGATCATTATATAGTGTAAATCATGTGAAGGGAATTGAAAGGACTGTCAGCATAAAGACATGTTCCCTAAGGCTAAGACTGCTATATTATGAGTACTAGTTGCTATATTGTGAAGACTTTATAATATGTTATGAAGACTGTAATGAGTGTATTATATTTACAATGTACTCTTTCTGTTATAGCTGTTGTTAGTGTAGTTGTTTTTGCTTGATTGGAATCATACTTGTAATTCAAACATGTTAAATAAATTATATATATAATTGTTTTAATTTGGATAATTTGTGATTTAATTTGTAGTGAGTGATAGATTCAGGATGTGTTCATCATCACTGAAACCTAATGGCGTCACAAGTTATATTTGTACTGAAAGCATACACTTCAGTATTTTAATGTTGTTTTATATGCAATCCACTCTCTTAAAGTAATATCCATATAAAAATTATAACTTTGTCCATAAATGGTTTTGTCATGATGCATTTTGAATCTGATTAAAATTATTCTTTCAAAACATAACACCATATGTAGGTGTTTTAAATAATGCAAGGTATTAATTTTGAGCTACCAAAATATTTATAATGTCTTACTTAGTACAGATGATAGAACATTGGTTTTAGCAACCATATCAAGATAGGATCAGAATTGAAAGGAACATACAAGGACTTTAAGTTTGTTAAAATGTCTTGAGGTTTTATTAGTCATTATTTCCAGGCTGATTTTTAAATTGAAAGTTTAGATTATTCGTGGATATAGATGTAGATTAGGTAGTTGATAAATGAGCTTCAATGCTTCATGACAACAAGCTTCGTATATTCTACCAACTTTTCTTCATCAAAACCTATGACTGTTGAAATTTCTGCCGGTTCATGAAAGTCCTATTTAACTAACTTTGCAACAAGCAGACTTCCATGATATTATGATATCCTTAGTCCTGACAATTTCAATGTTATATTCATAACCATTGGACAAATTGCTCTATTCTTTAGACCCTCAGTTGCTCAACTAGAAGTAAATGATAATTGGGAATTACATGGCCCATTGTAATATTTGGGACAAATCTAAGTGTATCCTTGAAATTATATGAACAGTCAGCCCAATTTTCATGTCCCCTTTTCTCTCATTTTATCAGAGTTAACATTTTTATATGAACACTTCTCACCATTTCTCTTGTTCAATGACTCCCAAAGACAACACACAACAGACCCATGATTGTCCATAATGAAAGTCGTCATCTCTATGTCAAACTGTGCTCTTAATAGCATTAATTGTCTCATTGTCTTACGTATAGTGGTGTGAAATGAGACATCTAAGAGCTCTATGTGCGTTACTCATGATGATGTGTAACCCCAACCCACTCCCTCACTGTCTCCATTAATCTTGCATTACTATTTTTAACCAATTACTTGCAGCATTTCAGTTCAACATATCAGAACATGTCTTCAGTATATCTGCATTATTCTGATTGGTTTGTGAAAGAATCTAAAAAACGAAATGTCATTAAAGGGGCAACAAAGACTAAAGATAAGTTGAGAGTAAATTTCAAAAGTGTCAAAATTTTATTTAGTCACAATATTTTATGCTTTTCTATAATAGTCCAACATTTCTGGCTTTCATGCTAATGGTTTAGTTTTATGGTAAATGCTGTCATAATATGTCTTATTATAATTATGTCTTATTAATAATTATGTACATGAGGTCACATGACCAGTAAAAATCAATAAAGTGTCACTTTGGAAGTCAACTAAGTGTTGTTTACTTGGCAATCCTTTAATGTAACTTTTCTATGAACAAAGATTTCCAGAGGCGTCCGCCCACTAGATCAGAAAAACCCCACTTTAATAATATAATGATTGTAATGAAACACAATCTTTTTTGAAAATATCATTTTCAATATTTTATGAATCGGTCTGATCTTTGCTGCCTCTTTAATGGGTAATTCTGACTGTATCTATATAATACTGTACTTCTACTTAATTTTGCAGACATTTTAATTTGGTGGGTCCGCCAAATTGTTAAAGTCCGCCATATGAAATAGTCACCAAATTCAATATTTCAATTGAAAATTTGTTTGGTGAATACATTTCAATATTGCAAGTCCACCAAATTAAGTAGCTGCCATATGTTCATAACAGTAAATCCGTCAAAATAAGTAGCACCAAATTAAGTAGAAATATAGTATACATTATTTCAACCATGGACTTTCAAGAGTTGAACTTAAAGGGTGACGCATATCGTTTAGCAAATCGAACGCTCGTTTCTGGTGTTGCTCACCGTTTAGTTTAAAAGGCCCAATCCCGGAATAATACTCAAGGGTTTACAGGTTCGAGGTCGTTGTGTCAACACCTCTAACTGTTATATAGCATAAGTATATTATAGATCATCACACATTTATAAAAGGGTGATTTTTATTTTGACAAATCAATTCCACATTTATGGGTGAAGTTTCAGGATCTTCTATTTGTGTATAATAAGGAAAAATTGGCATCTAAATTTCCCCATAACGTAATAGCACACAGCTTGGCATATGAAATATCCTACAAATGAAACAAAGCAAGACAAACCGGTTTCTAATACAAGGATTTATATTGGCTGTTGTACATGTATTCTTTGAACGCAATCACTCTTTGGATAACGTTTTCAAAATCATTATCAACGGATTACTTTATCTCAAAGACAATTTCAATAAACTGGATTTTACAGAACTCCCCTTATTTCTTAAAAATGGACTGATCCAGTTGATTCGCCTGGAGCCGCCATATTGTTTTTATACGGGATGCTAATCGGAACCCTTTAACCTGAATACTCCTATTCTACATGTACAGTATTATAGGTGTATTCATTCAGAAACAGTAGAATGATTCCAAGAATGAAAACATTGAATTCAGTTGATTGACTCTCTTTAAAAATGTCCTTTAAATGAAACTATTTTTATTTAGTCGCCTAACCTTATTTTCCCATTTTCATATAATTTCATCTTTTTTCTCCATTCATTTAAAAGATACATCTTGCAGATATTAAAACAGATTACAAATGCATAGTGTCATGTAACAATACTTGTGACAAACCCATTTTGACTTGCAGTGGCGTGTTACGTTACTAATAAACTGTAATATTTAATTGCAAGGTAAGGGATGTAATACGACCAGCCACTGGGCTTCAAAAGAGATGAGACCCTATTGGACCAATCATGTAACTCCAAGTGCTTGACGTCAATACAAGGCTTTATGTTATATTAAATTGAACAATAAGTGAGATTCACAGTTGATTTAGTTGCGCTGGTCGCAATCAGGGATTGAGTCTTAATACAGTTAAACAATGGATCTGGTAGGAAGGGGAGTACCTATGCATTTAAAAAAGATGTTACGACACCGAGAAAATATGTAAGTATTATATAAGATTACAAGTCGCAATGAGTGGATCAGGAGATTTGTTTCCAGACTAAGTTCTGGATTTATTTAGTTTCATTTAATAGAAGTAAATATTTTATTAATTTCTGACATACATGTACTTAAAAAATAAAAATGTTATATTTTTACAAACAAAAGAAATTAATTAATTAATATTTTCTTGTGTGTTGAACAGCCAACAGTCATACAATTGATTATCACTAAGGTAACCATGCATGACAGGCTCTCATTTTGATTTATACATCAAAGTTGCCCTAGCTACATTATTTTATTACTACAATATTTGTATGAAGTGTGATTAAAATAAATCAATAGCTAATAACAATTGAATTACATTTTCTAAATGTAATTGAATTACCATTTCCAAATGAATGAAGGAAGGAATCATATTCTATAGACTCCCTTGATTGGGCTCATTTTATGATACAATAGAATTTTATATAATTATAATGATTTAGCTTTGTCTTGAGCACCTGGTCTCCATACTTGCCTTTAAGGTGAGTTTTGTACCTGTTAGAGTATAACATCAGTATAGAAGCCTCTATATAGAAAAATCAAATTACTCTTTCACATGTTCTACCTTAAGGGCCTCTATCATGTCTAACCTCATGTCTGGGTTTGAGAAAGAGAATGATGGAGATTATAGCGATTTGTAAGAAAACAAATTAATTGTTGCAGTTGGAAGAGTAAAACAATGATACCTTAACTGCTAATAATCAATAGGGGAGGGGGCACCTGGTAGGTAGCTGTATGTAAAAATAGTAAGAATTAGAGGGGCTAACACGGGGACAAATAACTATCAATAGAGGAGGGTGTAATGAAGAATATCAACTTGATGAATAATAAGGGTGGTGTAAACACAGAAACTTATTGGAGGAATAGTAAAGACCAATTACATTTGTAGAAGATCAGAAGATGAAGACCAACAGGTTCCACCAACACCACCCAACTATACCACACAACCCCCAATGGCACACCAAGGCAGCTCAACTTCAGGGGATTTGGCACAGCATGGCACCCTCCCTCGAGGCATTCCAACACAAGGAAGTGCAATCCAAAGTGGCATTACACAACAAGGGAGGGAAATCCCAAGTGGCACTTTACAACAAGGGAAAACAATCCCAAGTGGTATTTTACACCAAGGGAGGGAAATCCCAAGTGGCATTACACAACAAGGGAAGGCAATCCCAAGTGGTATTTTACAACAAGGGAGGGCAATCCCAAGTGGCATTTTACAACAAGGGAGGGTAATCCCAAGTGGCAGAGCAAAACAAGAGAAATCTATCTCAGTGCCACAACAGGTGGCAGTCCCAAGTGGATTGCCATATCAAGGGATGACTCCAAGTGGTATGTCCCTGCCACATACTCCTTCTATGACCCCCCTATCAAATGCTGGGATGCCACCTATCATGCAAAAGAGACTCTATGATCAAGATTACTTTCGCAAACTTCGAGTACTTGAACACATTCACAAGATATCAGGAAGCGCTGATGATGATGATGACCCTAATAAAGCATTGAACATGAACAGGTCAGACATTTTTAGAATTCAGTATAAAACATGTCATTTCACACATAAGACAATTATGTATAATTTTAATTTTATCTTAGTCTGAACAAGTATGATAACATGTTTCGCCTTTTTGGACCAAAAGTTTTGGGCCGGAACTGGGAGATAAGTGATAGTACATGTATATTCAAGTGAATTTTATTTTGGAAATAGATGAGGGTGCTTGAACCGAGTATTGTGCATAATAATGATCAGTAAATTCTAAATCCTGATATACAAATATTATTGTTAACTTTTGTTTTACATTATATTCATATAACAATTTTAATTTCGATTGTGCTTTTCAAGTGTTGCCACTTGTGATTCCTGAATATTTCTAGATACATAAATTAATGATGTAATAATTAATATATATCTAATTTATAAATAAATATTATCAACAACAAAATATATATAGGCGTCCTTGAAATAATGTACATGTACAGTATGTTTATATATAATATAATTACTGTGGTCATGTCTCTGGAGAAACTGACTGCTTATCATTTTATACACAGGAATTCGTCTAGAATACCCTTTGCATTCGTTTGACTTCACTTCTTAAAAGAGAGCTTCGTCTGTAGTTTAACTAGACTCTGCACGCAGGGTACGTCTAGAAGGAAAAAGAAGTCAGTAGAGCAAGCCTCGACTCAATAAGCATAATTTATATCATAACAAACTGGTATCATATCAGTTTATCAAGTGTCGAAATGGTTAATCCAAATTTCTTGGAAGACTATGAATATAAATAAATTAAATGGCTCCAAATGAAAAACTTCCTCCTTTGTGCCCGTTTTGTTCCGTCGTCGGATGAAATAGTAATGTATTCCTTTATTTGTTTACATTATGGTAGTACAAATATAGATATTGACATCATGTTTGACCAATCAGATTGCTGGTGAATTTGAGCATACCTCCTTATTTGGAGTATCACGTGACCTTGATTATCAAGTAGGTCATTCATAATTTTAGATGAAAAGTTGCGGTGCGGGTCGCTGCAAAAACTTTAACAAATATTACTAAAAATGCCGGATATTATGTTCAGGTAAGCATAGTTTGAACTGTATAAGGGCACGATCATAACTTTTGTAAAGTTTGGGAGTTTAACATGCGCGATTTGAGGTATAATTTGTACTTTTTAGAGACCGCTGAAAAGTTTCAAACTTTTCCATCATGGCGGAACATGGCGACATACTTTAGCACGATGCATACACCCATGTGTATTTGCATTATCAATGGACGAAGAATATGTTCATGCTATGCAAGTGGCACGGTCTGTTGTTTGATGATGTGTTCATATCCACTTATTCAAAGGTGTGCTTTAGATCGGGTTTGTCATGATTCTAAGGTCAATTTCAAGAATGCACAAGTGGCAACAATTATAAATCATTTACATACATTTCACTCAATCACAGGCTGGTATCGAAATATTTGTCCGCTGTGACGGAGCATGCTATTTTTCATAAAAACACTAAGAATACTTCACGATTTATTTTTTAACTCATATGTTTCGTTATAATATACAAAATTACTTACTCCATGCAATGGATATATCATTTGCGGGTAACTTTCACTTCTGTTTGAAGTCCAATTACGCTGGGAAGAAAAGCTATTGAAAATGGCGCCGGAGTATCATACTTCAAAATGTACCACTTCTTGTTAAACTTTCTAATGGCACGATATAGTGACACGATTTTTTTGTACACATGGTTTCAGCATAACTATGAAGGTATACATGAGATGTTGATGTATTTGGTCTTTTTAATTCTTTTATAAAAAATAATGTTTAATTTTTTTGTCCGCTGTGACGGAGCAGTTGCAAATGTGAACTATAAAAATGCTCCGTCACAGCGGACACCAAATATTAATATTATTTTTTTATAAAAAAATTAAAAAGACCCAATGCATTAATATCTCATTAATACATTCAGAGTTATTGCTGAAAACATATGTTAATATTAACGTGTCACTATATCATGCCATTAAAAAGTTAATAAAGAAATGGTACATTTTAGAGTTTGATACTCTGGCGCAGTTTTCAATAGATTTCACTCCTAGCGTTATTGGACTTCAAACAGAAGTGAAGGTTACACGCAAATGATATATCCATTGCATGGAATAAGTAATTATCTTTGATATAACGAAACATATGAGTTAAAAAATAAATCGTGAAGCATTCTTAGTGTTTTTATGTAAAATAGCATGCTCCGTCACAGCGGACAAATCTTTCGATACCAGCCTGTGTCAATAGTGTAATAGTTTATTCAGTGATAAATTTCAACATGTAACATTGATATTATCACAGGTCAACCAAGGGTGCTTCAAAACAAAGGCGTGACCAAATCAACAATGAGATTGCCACTCTCAGAGATCTTTTGCCGCTACCAGAATCGTCACGACAAAGATTGTCACAATTGCAAGTGATGTCACTGGCATGTGTATTCATACGAAAGTGCAATTACATAACACGATGTAAGTATGCTGGAGTCTTTCTTTATAGTTTTGAGCTTTTTTGACTCACTCTAGCTACCAGCCATTTCTGTTTATTGAAATAATTTTTGTTATGTCTTCTCTGTTGTTTCGAAACTCTCAAGAGTATTCTAATGTTATTTGGCACAAGGTTTACTATTGCATGTTTTGTTCTCTTTTCTTGTGTTGACTTTTCCTGATGTTTCATTATTTTATGGTTTGGCACCCTCTTTATGTTCAGCCTCTATATGATTTTGAACCATGAGTTATGTTTAGCATAACTCCAATCTGCTTTATTGCTTTTTGCAGATCATCAACGTAGACAAAGTGTCATACGAAATGATAATTATCCTATTGATTTGATAACTATGAGGTTAATGTTCATTCAGTAATGTTCAATCTAGCTAACACTATACTCCATTTATGTTCAGTAATGTTCAATCTAGCTAACACTATACTCCATTTATGTTCAGTAATGTTCAATCTAGCTAACACTATACTCCATTTATGTTCAGTAATGTTCAATCTAGCTAACACTATACTCCATTTATGTTCAGTAATGTTCAATCTAGCTAACACTATACTCCATTTATGTAGCTGTGGAATTTGAGAATAATAAGTCTGGTACTATTTCTTTTCTGTTCCTTCCATCTTAGTTAACCTCACAGTTTGACATATACAACAGGTGGTAATTGGAGATCTTGTGGTTTTAGAATATTTTTTCATTGCCCCTCAGCATCCTAATTTAGTCTAACAATATTCTACCATCCAAAGTGAGAATTTTAATTGTATGAAACTTCCATAAGCTTGTTTGGTGTCTAGCAACTATTATGAATTATCACCTATTCCTACGAGATCAACTTCTTTTTATCTTATGCCAAATTGAGCAAATTGTTTAAAACCTCCCTCCTAATCAGAGAATTATAATCCACATTGTACAGTCCAGCGCAATGTCCCCAGAAACAATTCTAAATTAAGTGTTAACCCCCCTAAATGATTTGAATTTGCGGCATTTCTAGGGACTGCAAATTAAACTGTACTACAGAGACAATTTAAGCAATTTTTCTCCAATTTAATTTCAGTGTTTGGCGGTGATGTTATCTCTGATGAGTCCTCATTTTCGTTTGCTTCGGTAAGTAAGATTCTATACCAACTTTTGTGCTTCATTAAATTCATCGCTTTTGCATTAAAACATTGTTGATGCATATAAACCATTACCATTGTTTCTTTACATAAAGCATTGCTTCTGGGTGTGATGAATGGTTCTGTGCAAATCACTATGCTCACATTAAACCATGGGCTTTCTTGAAAGCCCATGATTCAATGAATGACTTTGCATATAAACCTTTGTACTTCTTTTATTGTAAAACCTGTCAGATATTGGCAGAAAGTTTTCACATTGTAAGAAATGTGTTCATATTTCTAGGTTTCGCTGTTCTTGCAAATCTCATATTGTTGAAGGATAAGTGTCAGTCTGTCACTTTTAATAAAAGTTATGTCAGCCAAATTTTGGGTGCAATGAGGTTAAGCTTGCCAAATAAATGGAGATGAAACACTAACATTGAACAAGGATGTGATACCAGTTTGTTATGACAAGTGAGATATTTTACACACACCCCGAGTTGAAAACTGCAGTTCAGAGGAAAAGCACCTAGAACAGCCATGCTAGTTATTCAATTGTTTGGGAACTGGTTTTGTTTTGGGTTTGTTTGGAACTGTTTTGGAAACGTGTTTTTGTAGGCATTCAAGTTCTTTTCAGAGTTTCACAAGTCGTATGCATAACACAAGTGTATTTCTACTGTATGCCAAAATAAGAAATATTGGAGTAGAACATCTAAGTTTATGAGAGTTACTTAGGTAGAAGTTGTTTTGAAAATTTAAACATGATAAAAGCAGGGGTTTAACAATTTAATCCATTTAATTTGAAAATGTGCCCATAGCAAGCGGCGAAATGTGAAAATGTAGGTACCAACCAATTTGGTATAAAATAGTATTCTGCCACAATTTATCTGAGTGGGAATTTGAATCTTTACGTGCAGATGAACATTGTTGTTTATCCTTGGCATTTGAAGCCGTAGGTGTAATGGTGAATGATTTCACAATAAAGCAATGTTACACTTGTGTTTCTGGAGATACATTTTTGATAATATGGAGATAAGTTATAAAAATACACAGCGGGTGCTCGTACTTTTGGCTAGTCACTTGGATGTGTTCACGAGGTTAAGAATTGATGTAATGTAATGATAATTACCATAGTGTACATCTACAGTATATATTATGTACTATACATAAATTTATTATTTATTTGTTATTTACATTTGAGATCCGGTTAGCTACTTCCCTTGAACTAGTGAAGGACACTGATACAAAAGACAAACATCAACATGTCTCAACTAAGTAAACTCTAAAACAATCCCATCTTTGTGAAGGGACCATCTCAATGAATCATTTGCAATTAAACAAAGCAGTACTTTTTCATATTTAATTATTTGATCCTCATTCTTTTAGTATTCCCCAGACATGTTGATTACTAATGACAGCTTTAGTTACCACCCCCCACCCCCCATCCCCCGTCCCCCAGAGACATTGGTTCTGCATGAGAGTTGCATTGAAACTCTCCTTTATACATATGATGGTAGCAATAAGAATGAATCATTGCTATGTACGTCAATGAGATATTGTTTAAACCACAAAGGTCGAAAAAGAGGGTATAATATGATTAGTAATGCTGGGCACTATGACTAAATTGAAAACAAATCAGATGCTTCAAAAATGAATGGCTTTTCTCATTTTCTGTCATTTCTTTAGGATTTAGTATGTTAACTACACGCCTCTTGCATACTATATTTCTTGCTAGTTCCACTGTTTTTCACTGTATATTACACCTCAAAATATAACTTGTTCTTTTCTAAAAATAAGTTGCTTTTGATATGATTGACTTTAAGGATGGCTTTGAACATGCAAATAAAGATGATATATTATAAATAAATTGTGAATATTTTTAATGTCAATGAAATATGATAACAAGCTTACATATACCATAGCTGAGTAAACATTAACTGTTATGATATCATGAGGTTTAAAATTAATCAACATAAACTGTCATCAATTTGTAGTTTTATAAGTACATGTATCCTTTTAACCATTGACTATAGACTGATCAGATCAGACCATGTTAATGGTGTGAATACTAAGTATATAAAGTACAGCCCTACATGGTAACAGAGGAAGTTAATTCATACTAAAATGATTCATTTGGAAGATTTTATCAATAAATTGACATCATGTTCTATTTAAAGATTGATATACATTTTTTCCACATTTATTTTTAAGTGGCACCTACAAGGTTTCAAGTTCAATTTAAAAAAAGTTTTTTAACTTTACATGGTGACTACTGTACCAAAGCATGTACTTCAAAATAACTAACAGTATGGATCACTCAATGCTCCAACTTTATAACGCAGAAACGAAGCTCTGTTAGTGGATGACTCATACTCATGTGAAATTCTATTTTTATGTTTGACACATAAAAATATATGTTTTTTCTTTAGTTTTGCGAATGGGAGTGTAACACATTCATGATTTTCTGTCGTTTGTGTTAAATTTAATATGAACCAATATATGGATTAGTAGCAAAAATGTAGATTTTTAAATCAATTCCAGATTTTCATCATAACATGCTATACATATAGTCTTCATCCCATATTTGACCATGAATTACCAATTCATAAACATGAACAACTGAACAATATAGTAGAGTGTATATACACAGGCTGGTATCGAAAGATTTGTCCGCTGTGACGGAGCATGCTATTTTTCATAAAAACACTAAGAATGCTTCACGATTTATTTTTTAACTCATATGTTTCGTTATATCAAAGATAATTACTTACTCCATGCAATGGATATATCATTTGCGTGTAACCTTCACTTCTGTTTGAAGTCCAATAACGCTAGGAGTAAAATCTATTGAAAACGGCGCCAGAGTATCAAACTCTAAAATGTACCATTTCTTTTTTAACTTTTTAATGGCATGATATAGTGACACGATAATATTAACATATGTTTTCAGCATAACTCTGAATGTATTAATGATATATTAATGCATTGGGTCTTTTTAATTTTTTTTATAAAAAATAATATTAATATATTTTGTCCGCTGTGACGGAGCATTTCCACAGTTCACATTTGCAACTGCTCCGTCACAGCGGACAAAAAAATTAAACATTATTTTTTATAAAAGAATTAAAAAGACCAAATACATCAACATCTCATTTATACCTTCATAGTTATGCTGAAACCATGTGTAAATATTATCGTGTCACTATATCGTGCCATTAGAAAGTTAAACAAGAAATGGTACATTTTGAAGTATGATACTCCGACGCCATTTTCAATAGCTTTTCTTCCCAGCGTAATTGGACTTCAAACAAAAGTGAAAGTTACCCGCAAATGATATATCCATTGCATGGAGTAAGTAATTTTGTATGGTATAACGAAAGATATGAGTTAAAAAATAAATCGTGAAGTATTCTTAGTGTTTTTATGAAAAATAGCATGCTCCGTCACAGCGGACAAATATTTCGATACCAGCCTGTGATATATGCCCTCCAAATCAACCCTTAACACAACCAAGATAAGTGAAGACCTTGGCATAGCAAACTAAAATGAGCTTCAATTAAAATTTGGCATTGTTGAAAGAAATGAAATACAGTAGGTCTTGTTTCTGAGAAAAACACCTGATATTCACTGGTCTGATCAAGATATAAATAGAATTTCCTGTCTAGCTTTGTCTATAGGGATTTTTTTAGCAGACTGTATTTACTATTTGGCCCTATCAAGATCTCACTTTTGCCCTTGATATATTTGCTTACTGACAGGGCTTTATCATAAATGTAAAGACAATATATTACCCCTGCATTCCTTCATTAAGATACATAGATATGACGGCCATATTTGAGTGGTGAAAGTGTTCGCTATTTAGAATATAAATAGTTGCCAAAATAAACTCTATGAATAAATACTTGAAATAACTGTACTTGTAAAATAAAAGGGATGGATTTGGTTCTACTCGACTTTTGTTTAAACATCCATTGATAATTTACTCATGGAGTATTTAAAGATAATTTATTTTAGGTTAATTAATATTTGTATGTAAAAATTCTGAATTAATATTTCTAAAATGTCTGGCCTGGTACATGAACCCCTCTTTTTGTTTTTTGCATAACTGAGAGTTGATAAACACATGTTGTTGTTTTTCTCCATGCTTGGCTATATTTCACATTTTAGTGCGCCATTTCCTACCAAGGAAGTAATTTTAGAAACCTAAGTCAAACAGTGTGTGAAAGCCTTTCATTTTCCAGACAGCTGAAAAGTTTTTGGTGTTATAACATAAGCTTATTATCGTTTTTCAATAAAAGATAACTTAGAAAATACTTAAATATTTATGAGTTAAGATGAAAATATATTAAATTTTGTTTTTATACAGGTTATATTGTATTATATGATAGTTTAGTACAATTAGATTATATGTGTTGCCCCCCATACATGAAACACATGGCTTGAGATAAGTTAGTGGGAGTTGATGTAGGCTTCAGTGTTCTATTCCCTTTAGGTCTCAATCTTGTCTAAAGTTAAAGAATGGAGTAACAGATTATTTTGATACTGATATAGGGGTTTTGCAAGGTAGTGTGCTTAGTACTTTCTTATTCAATCATTTCATCGATGATCTTACTTTACAATTACCAGCACACTGTGGTGTTATTTTAAACGGTAAAAGGTTAAATCATCTTCTATGGGCGGATGACCTCGTATTGATCTCAGAATCCAGTGACGGATTGCAGCTATTGCTTGACACACTTTTTTCTTTTTGTAAGACTAACAGGTTAATTGTCAACACAATGAAAACTAAAGCACTTATCTTCAATTCTAAAAGATCATTCAAATTTGAATTTAATGACCAAACTATAGAATGTGTCAAAGAATACAAATATTTAGGTCTCATTCTCACCAAAAATAACAGTTTTGATCTGAACACTAAGTACCTTAAAGAACAATCAAAAAAGGCACTTTTTAAGATAAAGCAACAATATAAGAAGTTTAATGATGTACCACCGGATGTGGCTCTTCATCTGTTTAATGCGTTAGTTAGTCCTATTTTATGTTATGCATGTGAAATATGGTATGATAAAAAGCAAATGAAAGCAATTGAGTCAATTCATTTGTCTTTTTTAAAGTCAACATTAGGTGTTAAATCACAAACTGCAAGCCCAGCTGTATATGGTGACCTAGGGAGATACCCATTATCAATCAAAATTGAATCTTACATTATAAAATACTGGCTTAGATTTCAAAATTTTCCAGAGAGTAATGTATTAAATCAAGCATACTTATATGATAGGGGTAATCAAGAGTTAGGGTTTAAAAGTTGGTCAAGCAAGGTTTATGATATACTCAGAAAATGTGATTTACTAGATTATTGGAATAATCAAAATCTGGATACTGAAAATCTGGTGAATATGGTTGAAAAGAAATTAAAAATATTGTTTGTAGAAAAATGGAAAAATGATTTGAACACTTATCCTATATTGAGAACGTACAAATTATTTAAAAATGATTTTGGTAAAGAATTGTACTTGAAACTAGATAATAAAAAGTATAGATTGGCTACAAGTAGATTTAGAATGAGTTCTCATCAGTTAGCAATTGAGACTGGAAGACATACAAAGCCAAAACCAAAACCTTTAGAGGAAAGAGTATGTAATATTTGTAAAGATGTAGAGGATGAATGTCATTTCTTTTTAGCTTGTACAAAAAATGATGAGAATAGGCAAATATTATATACAAAAGCCTGTGAAATTTTACCTAACTTGGATTTACAAAGTGAAAATTTATTTGTCAATCTTATTTCTAGTAAAAATGTAACCTTGCAAAGACATATTGGCAAATTCATTTACCATTCATTTAAGAATTTAGCGTGGTCATAATGCATTGTGTGTGCACCACACTATTATTGTTACCTTATATATTTTTATATATTTTTTGTATTTTTAGTTTAGTTGGTGTTTTGTAGTTTAGATATGTAGTCTACCATAGTTCTGACTAATGTAATCATGTTATGATACTATATGTCAATAAAAGTTATATATAGGGCAGGAGGGGTGCAGAATTGTAAACATTGACTATATTTCTACTCTCCATGCTGTCTGTATCATTTAGATGTGTTTATTCATTATTACCATTGTTAGTGTCATTTAATCATAATTGCATGTTAACATTCAATTTCAGACATTGGAAATTCATACTTTATGTCGTTTATCTTCGATATATTTCCAGGCCATGTCCGGGTTCCTATTGATTGTAACAAAAGATGGCAAGATGCTGTACATATCTGATAATGTAACCGAATATCTTGGACACTCTATGGTAGGTGGAATTAGTGTTATTATTTCTCAAAGGTCACATCTGAAATAAAATGACACCTAAAATCTTTTCAAAAATAATGATACACAATTAACCATTATATGCCACCCTGTTCAAAATCTGTTTGTGCACCTTGTCAAAAGGTTGAAATATTAACATAAATTCACCCAAAACATATGAAATCAGGATTCATCACCTTGTTGAGAGAAACCTGGGGAGGTTTCTGTGCTAGATTGTATTGTGAATATGAATGTGTTGTCATGATGTGTTGTGTAATATATCTGGATTTAATTAGTGCGAGACTGTGTTATTTTACATTGTATTTTTATTTGTGCTTATTAGCACTAATTTCCTGTCATATTTCAACTTGGGTCATTCAACCCTGCACCAACTCAAAATACAAACTACACAGTACATGTATATGCATTTGTCATTGTGAATACAAACTACACAATACATGTATATGCATTTGTCATTGTGAATACAAACTAAACAGTACATTTATATGCATTTCTCATTGTAAATACAAACTACACAATACATGTATATGCATTTCTCATTGTGAATACAAACTACACAGTATATGCATTTCTCATCATGAGAAATCCCCGACATTGTTTTGAAGGCTTATTCTAGAGTTATAATTAATGAATCTATATCTTACTAATTTTGAAAATATGGACACATTTTACTGTTGCGTATCAGAAAAATGTACAATATCAGTATGACATATACTTGTCAAAACAACAATTTTAAATTCTTAATGAATGTTGATAAATGTCTCTTGGGCTAATATCACTTGAACGGCTGGCATTGATGTCAGAGAGAAAGCTCACTGTCTAAAATAGTAGATAATAACTGATAATTGTTGATAGTTGCCATGGTGACCAACATGATAAGGCCTATTATTTAGTATAAGTTGACTCCTGAATTACAAACAAACATAGAATTCACATTTGCTCTTTCACATGACATATTTAGTTACCACAAGTCTGTATGGTGATATAACATACTTCATTCTATACATGTATATGATATACATGTTCACTCCAATGCATAGCCACTAAAACTATCTAACATCAAGATAACACATCCACTTATATGCAGCCATAACAACTTGGCTATTAGCTTTTGTGCTGAAGACAAAAGACTGTAATATACTAGTAAGTCATTGAACTTATTTTATATAATACCTCCTTTCTCTGTTATCTTATTTTTCTCCTAAAATAGGGTGGTTTTCATGTTACATGTAGCACTGTCATTAATGTTAAAAGTCAAACCTGTTTTATAAAATCTCCTAAGCATTAGTTGATTTTGTAAAGCAATGTCAAAGTTGACTTCTATGAATATAAACTAGTCTGCCTCTACAGGGTATCCATGTGTATTTACAATGATTTATGTTGATGTTTTTTTCCTTTTTCAACAGGAAACTGAATACTTGCACTATTGAAAAATTGTTGTTTTAAAGCCCTTTCAAATTAATGTCTGTTGAGTTGGCTTGGTACATTTAGCTCTCAAAACCCCCTGGTTAAAAATTTTCTCACCTTTTTATTATTAGGATTTTCATTTTGTGTCAACAATTTTAGAGTTTCATATTTCATATCCCCCTTAAGTATATTTCATATCCCCCTTAAATATTATCATGCATGAACTGTTCATATTCAATCTCATCGTCATAAAAAGATAGAAAAATTCTCATTTTTTTCACATGTATTTTTAGGTTGATCTTTTGACGCAAGGAGACTCATTGTACGATATCGTTGACAAGAGAGATCACTCAGCTGTGCAGGCACAGTTGTTAAACAATTCCTTTGAGAACAATGATGAACGCACATTCTTCTGCAGAATGAATGTTGCCAGAAGCTTCAGAAGGCACTCCACCTTTGGGGACCACAAGGTAAATAAGTATGCTTAATTCATATGGAACGTCACAATATAGCATTTGACTATATATATCTGTATACAATTTTCATTATTAAAACAGCTAATCAAGAGAATTTGATGTGAATTTTGTGATTAATAAACTAGTTGGAAGACATTACATTGTGGCCATCATGGGAATCCTATCTTCTAGGAAAATTCATTTGTACATGATTATTAATTTCAAGCCTACGCATTCATAAATATAGACCTACGCATCCATAAATTTCAAGGTCTTTTAGGGGTATCGCTTGCATGACATTCTGCATGTTAATAATTATCTATTTCTGCATTTTCAAACATATTTTCTGTATTATTCAAAGTCATTACAATAAACATGAGCAGATGAGTAAATAATGAAACCACTTGTCATTATGTTTTCTATATATATAGCAGAATATTAATTGTCATATTAATTACAGTACATTGTTTGGCCTATTCTGCAACTTACACTTTGTACTATATCTAGTAATTTGAATAAACTTTTATCTGATTTGCTTGTGTTTCTGTGAAATTTGTAGTGTGTGCCACATTATTTCTTGCATTGTTTACCCTTTTCAATCTAATTTTAGAGCATGATGGTTGCAATTTTCTTCCAGGGTATATTTTAAGTAAACACTTTTTTTGTAATTAGCATAAACATCATTTAACATTTCAATTGCCTGTATGAGATGAGAAAATACCTAGAAATAGATTGATATTTCAACTGTAGAAATGGATTGATATTTCAACTGTATATGGATTAATAGATCTAACAATATAAATACATACATGTTTATAGCCTCAACCATTCAACCATTGAGTTTGTGAATGACAATTACAATAAACATTGAAGCCTGATGTTCAGTAATGTGCTAGTATATAACCAATTTCTTTCAAATGACATACAATTATTGTTAAATGGGATATACATTTTCATCATTCTCTCTTGGATTCCTTGGTATTTTTTGTTCATTTAATAAGACTTTTGAAGTTACGAATGTCCATGCTCTGGTCAGTGACAATACATATATATAGGGTTCTTATTATAAAATAAAACGTTTAAAAAAGCAAATATTTTAGAGTGTTAGGAATGCTAGAGAAGGAGTGTTCCAAATTTCATGGAAAAAAGTAAAAATTAGGGACACTGTAATTTCGAACTTCGCGACAAAATATCCTGTGGGGAACTACACTGTACCTATATATGTATAGCTAACTTGGTTTATTTGTTCAATTGCTATTTTACAAGGGATAAGGACAACTTGAGCTTTTCAAGTAGCTTGCCAGACTTTTATAAGAGACACTATCTTTAGTATATTGTTGACTTGTTATGACCTTATATCTACTTCCCTTTGGGGGTTGTAAGACATTTCCTCCTGGATAACATTTCAACAGTCTTATATTAAAAGAAGCTTTACATTGAGACATGATTTTAGCCTGGCTGTTGAGAGAAAAGCATAGATAAAGCACTAAAATTTAAGCATAGATATTGTAAATTTCATATTGTACAGTACTGTAATACTTGCTTAATACTTTAGTATCTGATTATTAACAACATAATATCAAATATTTTAATCCCACTTTTAGTGTCAGATAGTCTAAAGCTTAAGCATAGACATATTTTTGGCACAGGTTTATTTTCTGTTCACATGTTAAGCCATGTGCATGACAGCTTACTTGGCGATATATTCAAAGATGATGTCTGAACCAGACTTAAGGTGGCCATTGGCAACCAGCTCCTTTTAATTGTGATCCATTCCCCTGCAGCATTTGAGTTTTCCCAACTCTAATTGTCATTCTGATCTTTTCATAGGTGATGCATGTACGAGGTCACTTCATTCAACCAACAGTGCGTGACCACTTTGGCAACCAGCCAGTCTTCATGGCACTGTGTTCACCGCTCATTACCCCTGAGGTGAAAGAAAGTGTCATCCAGAACAACACACTCATCTTCAGATCTATCCATAGCTTAGATATGAAATTCATAGAAGTTGCGCTAAAGTGAGTACATTTTTCAAAAATTAAAATCTTTATTAAAAAGCAAACAATGACCTAAAAACTAAAAAACATGGCACAGTTGCTCGATAAAAGGAAATCATGGACTTATACTATCCATCCACTAAAGGAGACATATTAGATGTAGAATATATTATAAGGGAATATGGCCAATGACATTCTCATATTACATTCGAAGTAACACTTAATCAAGTGTTACACCATTTAACAAAAGCTATTGTTAATTTATGATTGGGTACAGTTGATACTTGGTAATAGGAGTCACATTTCATTATTTTTTGTTTAGTATAGTTGTATAACTCTGGTGAAATGAAATATTGAGATTTTATTTTAAGTCGTGAGATTTGTGTAGCTAAATGAAATGAATGAGAGACTGAGTATCATCTTCAGCTAATTTATATCTGCTGTGAAAATGAAAAACAATTGACACACTGTCTTTATTATTAAATGTACTTGTATTTTTGCAGTGGGGAGCACCATCTAGGCTATACTGATGAGGAGATGAAGAATAAATCTTGGTATGAGCTACTTCATCCTGAAGATGTTGCTGATGCAAGAGAAAAGCACATTCAATGTAAGTCAAAGCCAGGAATACTGCATTATTATAAGTGTGGGGCAGACAAGGTGTATAGAATAAGATCTATTAAAGATTATTGAAATACATACATACTGTTAGGGTAGTTAACATACAAACAACAGGCAAGTTATTTGATGATACAGCCAATTGTAATTGTGTTTCCTCATGTATTATGTTTTATTATTATTATTATAGTGATCAAGTCATCTCACGAGATGGGCTGTATGTTAACAATCCGTCTACTGAGCAGAGACGGTGGTTTCATATGGGCGAATGTTGTCATGCACATTAGACAGTCTTTCATATCAGACAATGGAGAGCCAGCTATTGTATGCATCAACCAAGTGATCAGGTGAGATTTTGCTATTTGTTGGTATATACCCTTATATATATACCTTGCTAATACCCTACCTACCCTCTGACTAGCATCAACTAGTTTACAGGTAATGAGTTTGGTGTTCCAACCAATTAGAGAGCATTACAGGGCCAAGCTAAAATATTCTTATTGTACCTAAACAGAATTGTTGTTGCTTAGCAATGGCAAACTCAGGCTCTGCTTGACTCAGCAAATTCGGAGGTTGATCATTTCCATTTAAAGAGGGTGAAAAGGACAGTAGTTTTATACAGTTGTCCATTCAATTGCAATCATTTGATATGTGTTTAGAGTAACACCGTGTGGTTCTTCATTGTAATAAGATAACAAAATTAGTTTCGACTCACCCCATGAGGCATGAGTGACTCAGCATGAGACTATTAAAGCTCAGTATTGCTCTTAATAGTTCAACATTAAAGTCTGTTATATGATTATTAAAGCAGATATCATGTGACCAACCTCAGCTAGGAATTAAACCTCAATTTAACAGGACTGAGAACAACTGAGTGATATCAGCATGAAAATATGCCTGTATTGTATAGTATTAATATAATAAATGATAAATTTTCAGTGATAGCGAGGCTGCTCACTTCAAATTACAAAGCCAGACTTACTCCTCTCAGATAACACCTAGCCCAGAGCACCTGCCCCCCCAGAGCAGCCCAGTGCACCCTCAAGTGAACAACCCAGTGGTTTACGACCAGAGCCGTGTCTCACTTCAACTGACCGCCAAACAGGAGTGTCTGTCTGTACCGATGGTGGACTACATGCTTCAGGCTCCGCCCCCCTACCAGCAGGTTGCAGGTCCAAACCATCAAGGTATTGGTAGCTCTAGCAGTCACGAGTCTTTGTCAGATTGCAGCACTGGAGGGAGTCCAATTAGCCCAAATGTAGAGGCAGCGAAGGAACGATTGCTAACATCACTTAAACGTAAAGTTGATTTCGCTGATGGTTGCTCTGCAGCCAAGATTCCACGATTTTTCAATGAAAATAGTACAAATGATGGTGGCCATGGTGGATCTATGAATACATTCAACTTGCCTGTAACTTTCGATATCCTGAATAATACAGTTGGCTGTATGTATGATGTGTCTAATGTAACAGCGCCTTTGTCCCAGGTCCACAGCAAGCAACCCTACCTCAACAAGGCCATGCTAGTAGATATAGATGACTCTGTAGTACCACAAACCATGGGAACAGTTCTCCCAAGTCCCAGTGTCTATAGTCCCAGTGCACACAGTCCTAGATCCCCTGACCATGATTCAAAGACCAGTGTTGACTGCACCTCCCAGGTGAAAGTCCCATCCTCCATCCTCACCCCAGATCCCTCCCCAAACTACATGAACTCTTCTAAGTTCTTCAACCAGATTGATGTGGAAAGTCTGATGTCACAGATAAAGAAGGTGAAAACAGAGTCGAGCGTGGAATGCCTTGTGAAGCCTCCAGTGCAGCCTTCAACAGCTCAGGTGTGCATGTCCATGGTGAACAAGGTCAAGAAAGAATCAAAACCATTGCCAGTCTTGGACCCTGACATCATTGATACCTATTTTGATCTGGTGATCCCCGAGATTGAGCCAAATGTTGAAGTAAAACAAGAGAGCCAGGAGACAACATCAGAATCAGCCAATGATGTGGTGGAGACAACAGTGCATAGTCCAGCATCTAGCTTTGCTGACAGTCTGATCGATCTTGCCACCAAGTCTCCACACCCTATGGACTCTCCCCTCCCTGCATCACCCAATAACAGCTTGGATGTTAGACTGGAAATGTGGGCTGAAGACTGCTGGATGGGGCTAGATGAGACACTTCCATTGGCTGGTACAATAGGAAGTGACAGCCATTTTGATGCACCAAGCTCCTCTCCAAGTTATGGTGAGCTCTCATTTCAATTCTTGTCTCTTATGTTTCCCTTATGTACATTAATATTCATTCATATATGTATCAAATTTTCATTATCTAATTGTTAATGATAATTTGCCAAATTGACGTGTGAAACCAGTATTAAGTTGTGGCTATTAGAATACTACCTTATCTGTTTAGTATAAAATCAATGGTGAAGAGGTACGATCAGGATACGATAAAACAATCATAATATGGTTGGGAATGAGTTCAATAAATCTATGTTCAAGTAGTGCTTAAAAGATTCAATTGTAAATAGCATTTTAATTCTACTTTTAGGTGGGGAAAACCATAACGTTGTTCAGAGGTTGCCTACTGATTTAGACTTGTAAGATTGTCCTTACACTTGAGTAACAGATCTCGTATGGCATATTGCCATTAGGCATGGCTAGCCAATCACTGGCTGGACTGCGCCAAGATCGCATCCACAAGATGGAGTTGCTGGTTCGACTTCAATTGACAAACTGCTGCTGGATGGCAAAAATCAACTGCTGGACAGTAAAAATTAACTGCTGGACAGTTATTCACTGCGGGACAGTTATCTTCTTAACTGCGGGGCAGTTATCTTCTTAACTGCGGGACAGTTATCTTCTTAACTGCTGGACAGTTATCTTCCTTACTGTGGGACATTTATTTTCCTAACTGCGGGACAGTTATAACATCTTGTAAACAAATCACCATGGGAACAAGTATGTTATGAGATGTTTTTTGCCAAATGTCATTTTTGGGTTCATTGTACTAGTGAATGGGTCAGTTTGTATATAGTATATATACAAGTGTAACAATTGCTTGGGTGATAGCATGCTTTATAGTAATAATCGTATGACGTGTATATGTACCAACCATTTAGAAGCACTGGTTGCTCTAAGGTTGGTGTATTTCCTTTGATATATCTGCTGTTCAGTTCATTTTAGTCTACTGCACTTCTCTGTACCATACACTAGATGATATATAGGTATTGTGCTTGATGAACAGACTTTTCATATAGTATAATACAGTTGCTTTTATTAATGTTGCTTGTGATGAAGTATTGTTTTACCGTAAGCATCAAATGTATAAAATCAATATGTAAAGTGAAAATTCAATAATTCCATCATTTATCAAAAATTGTTTTGACATTAGAATAGATATTAATGTTATGTATTTTTGCCTTTTAATTTGAATCCATATTTTTATTGCTTCCAAATAAATAAATTCGGTATCATTGATGTGGGAAATATCGTCATCAGAAAATAGCAATTTCATTTGACGTCACATAATATGAAGTAGCTTGCATTAGGAGATTGAAGTAACCTGAAACGTTTTCTATCATAATGCTGATTACCGGCTGCGGTTTATACTCAGCTAGTTGACGCAGATTTTTTCTCTGGATGATCAGTGTGTAATTTCTTCATCTCTAGGTGGTTTAATATTACTTACCCCATAGGTGTCTTATTATTACATCACATTTTCATTGTGAATAGGTATGAAATATCCAGGGGGTTGTGCTTGCTTGCATTACCTTTTATACAAACCTTTATTAAACAAAATTATCATAGATTAAAATCCTGTTTGAAATTTGAAATTAACTTTATATGGCTCTTGAATAAATCTGATATTTATATTTTTGCCTTGCTATCTAAGGTTATTGTTATAAATAAATGACCACAATGATACATTGCATGAGGTTGTTGAAATATGTCAACCTTAAAAGATTCTCTGTTATTTTATTTTATATGTTGTGAAAGTATGTTTGGATAATTGAATATATCAATGATGAACATATTAAAGAGAGAATCTGTGGTTCCATTTAACAATGAAAGTAATGTTTATTGAAGTTGTACATTTATTCTATGACAAAATTCACATTATTAAGAATAAGGCATGGATATTGCACATCGCTAGAGCACAGATGGAATTTGTGTTTATGAAGAAGGTTTGATCAAAGTTTGTTAGGGAGTGCAATAATATCCATTTGTCATTGCTGATTAATGTGGTCATATGATATCCTTTATGTTGAAAACTTACTCGTGCAGTGCACCAGACAAGTTGTTCAATGTTACAATTTAGTATACATACATATTCTGTTTTATTTATTCTAAGTGTCAACATTGATTTTAATTCATATGACATTGTAATTGTTTGATGGCAGAAGTGAGTTAAGTTACATGTATTGTAAAAATGTTATATGAATTGTAAAACATTGTTTTGTTCCGCTTGAATACCATGTTTATTATATACCATATGGTATATGTAATGCTTAGAACTATAGCAACTTTAATAATTACACATTGATTAAATGTGATATATCTATATGTATTAACACAAAAGCTTCAGGGCTGGTTCCTATTTATAGCTTCAATGAATACATGTTGTGATGATGGTTGTAACTAAGTAACTAATTAGAGAATGTCTTGCTAATTGCACACATATTGTACAAAGAAACACGATCTTGCAGAAGATTTCAGTAGACAATTGTCATGGGGAATATGAGAATTTAATACAGTTAAATGCAGGCCAATGAGAATTGTATTAATTTCAAATAATCATTATGGTATATACATAGTATGTGTAGATTTTATTATAGCAATTTGACTTAATATCAATAAATTAGTGTGAAACTTACTTAAGGTATTGTGTATTGATTGATGAGAAAAATCTATTTTCTCCTTTTCCCCTTCATTTACTGGACTCGAACTGTTAGTTCATATTTCACTAAATTTATTTTCTCCCTTTTCCCTTCATTTACCGGACCCAATTATTCACTAAAATATGTTAGATTAAATATGCTCCCCAAAGCACTAAAGAATTCCCATAATCTGACACATATTGAGTCCCTGGTTATTATAATTATGTCACAATCATAAAGTGGTGACATATTGTTATGGTCTCAATTTTTTTTACTGCGAATGGCGATCGGCGTCTGTAACAAATTCTTACAACTTCCAATAACTTAACAAATACTGTTTAGACTGACTTCAATTTTTTGCAAAATCATCTACATGTTTCCAGAAGTTCAAATATGACTTTATATTTAAGATTTGACCTTTTCAAGGTCAAAAAGGTCTTTTTTCAACTTGCTTCAAATTGACCAATTTATTTTCAAAATCATCTACAAGTTATCAGAAGTTCAAATCTGACTTTAGATTTGAGATTCCACCTTCTTTGACCTTCTCAGGGTCAAAAAAGGTATTTTTACAACTTGCTTCAAATTGACCAATTTGTTTTTTCAAAATCATCTTCAAGCTCTAAGAAATTCAAATCTGACTAAGATTGAACTCAAAATATTGTTAGCAACAAGGTGGTGACATTTTGTCATGTTAATGCCTTGTCTGACACATAACATATTGAGTCCCTGGTTTTTGCATCTCAAGATGAAAATTGTATGTTTTTTGTATGAGTTAAACCTCAATTTGTAATGTGATTGGTGGTAAATGCATTGAGTGAAGTGATAATTCAACTGGGAATGCCTTAGAGCCACTATCCCTTTTCAAATGGGGGGGGGGGTGATATCTAAATGAACCGGTGGCACGTTTTTCAACATTCTTCATAGATAATTACTTCAAGAAAATCTTGACGGACATTGAAAAGTAATAATTGACAGTTTCTCTTTAAGTGGCAGCAATGAGTAGAGTGTAAACTGTTGAAGAAATGAGATATCTGGTTAAATATGGAAGTTATTCAAGATATAAGATGCAGAAATGTCTGAATTCATTGATAAGGGACATCCACTTTTAAAAACCATTGCCAGATAACGATAAAGTCTCTGAGCTGTTGTAAAATGGGCATGACATGAAATGTTCTATGTAAATGTATAGAATGGAAAAATATATTTTAATATACTAGAAGTAGTACACCTTTATTTTCAAAATTGATACATAGAAATATACACTTACATATAAAGACACTAACTGTAGTCTTACATCAAGTCATTGTGCCACCCTCACAGCCATTCTCTCTAGATGGGGGGAGGCAGAGACCTGATACAAGATTAACATATTTTGATAGATGTTTTCCAATGCATTAGTATGGCAAAGGATCAAAAACTCAATTTATGACCACATAATCAACTTGACATAATATTAAGCTGGTCTTACAGCGCAATCTGATGTCTAACGAAACAAAACTAAATTCTAATCCAGTACCACATGAATAGCCAGACGAAACATGTTATTGTTACCTTTAACCAAATAGGGCTTTACTATTAGGAAATTATCTATGTAAACATCTATATTAGGAAACAATGATATTATGGCTACACAAATAATACATTGATTTACCAACACTATGTTAATACTAGGTTGACTATTGTATATTAATAGACAACCCTGTTTTTCAAAATCAAATCAAGCTAGATTATTCAACCTTTGATTAAAATGATATCCCTCAAAACCCATAGGATATACTTTACACAGATGTAATGATATGATATTTTAGTATATAAATGTGCATATTGTACAATGTGTTGTAGCATATCATTCAGATTACTTGAATAATCATTAGTTGAACAGATGCTCCATCTTTAATCAACACAACTTTCTATTTCACTAAAATCATCATGACTGAGAAGAAATGAGATGTCGTGGTTTATCATGATACAATGTGAAGATCTCAATGTAGAGTGAGCTATGATAGGGAAAACTAAAGACAATGGAGACTTTAAGCTGGCCACGAAAGTAAAGTCCATGAATCAATACAGTAATGACGCTATAACTTTTTTATTTTGCAACCTACATACCCCAAATTTTGCATTCTCAAAATTCATTTCGTTCGTTGCGTACCTTCACTACCTCTCTGACGTTGTTTAAATAGTTCTAAAATTCCCGGGGCACGATCTTAGAAAGCTTCAGAAATTAGTACTTTCTTTATTACGAAATCAACAACGCCAAAACTTTGATATTCCATTAATCATGACGTTTACAAATGATTTTACCATCGAAATTGGTAATCAATGATGTATTTGATGTGTCTTTAGGTAAAAATCTCCGCGGAGCAACAAATTGTAAAATGTCAAGATCGATAATCACACATTACTACACGATTTCAAGATGGCGGTGTCAAAATTTTCTAAAAACGCTTCAAATAATATTATGTTAATTTCTGGCGAGTTCATCAATATCATAACTTGTTATCTAGTAACAAGATAGAGAAACATGTAAGAAATTCAATTTTATAGATTAAAACATCACATCGACATGTGGTATTCGTTTATTAGACGGTTAAAATTACGAATATGGGGATGACGTCATTTCAAAACGAACTGCATAGCAACGGTGTTAATAAACAATTTCTGCCCTCGCAAATTCCTAAGTATTCATTTTTAACAGTTTGTTACGAATTACTTAATATTTTTCTTATAAATGAATTCTTACTACATAAGAAATAAACATTTTATTAAATATGACGAATAAAATCAGTAGCAAACGCAAAGAAATATATTTTTTGAAGCAGGTCAAAATATTTAGCAGGGTAAATTTCGCGGGAATTTAAAGAACTGCATGAGGTAAGGCACAGGAGGTACGGATGGCACTGGACGAAAGGCTCGGAGACTGCAAATTTTGCAGTTATATAGTGCCAAGGGTTCTTAGTAATAATATAATGTAACAAGTCCTTCAACTTGAATTATATTTGATCTAAAAGAGGAGTTCAATTGGTCCGTCATCCTATTTGATGATAGCTTTTAGTTTTAGTTGCTTTGCTGATATAGCAGTATCAATGAAATGTTAGCTAAATTTTTTTCAACATGTCCTAAATTGCCAGCTTTAGTTGAGCAAATTTTTAAATTGGGTGCCTTCATACCATCGCCTGGGGACCTTCACATACCCTATACTTACTGGGGTTTGCATCAGGGTGCTTAGCTTGACGGTAATCTGGCTGTATCAGTTTAGGAACATTTTGCAAATTATGCTTATTTCTCATGGCACACCACATGTTTAAGTGAGACGCTGGTGACATATTTTATTCAAGTAAAAGTGTATAATTCATGATCCATGGCTAGATAACAACCTCCAATTTCATTTGGTATGGAAATTATGATTTTGTATCAAAAATTAAAAAAGTTATAGTATTTTGAAAAAATGGGCGTTTTTTTGGCCCACCCTGTATATAGCGTGCAAAGAAAACAAGCGCTAATTAGTCTACTTCAGACACCTGATCAGCTTCAGATTTGCTATTTCACATTGGTGTCAACGGGAATCATTATACCCATGTCTGTTGAATACTATGCTGGCAATTTTGATTTTGATGCACAGTATAATGCTTTCTGAAGAAAATGATGTATGCCATACATGTTTTAGCTCCAAATATCTTACGAAACAAGCTTGTTTAAAATACGGGACATAGAAAACCTGGGATAGAAAGTCAGCTATATGACTATCAATGTCATATTACACACTGCGATGTGGTCTAAGTAAAGGACTCAGTAAACACTAATAACCGAACAATTATTCATGTGAGAAAACTACATGCATTTGTATAAGGCGATTTATTACATGCAGGTTGGTGTTTTGATTTTATGTGCCAGCATAATGTCTCTATTGTCTATTAATGTACTCCCACAAGCATTGTTAATTACATTTTAAAAGGACGTAAAAGTCAATTATGCTAGATTGATTTTAAAGGGTTCCGATTAGCATCCCGTATAAAACCAATATGGCGGCTCCAGGCGAATCAACTGGAGCAGTCCATTTTTAAGAAATAAGGGGAGTTCTGTAAAATCCAGTTTATTGAAATTGTCTTTGAGATAAAGTAATCCGTTTATAATGATTTTGAAAACGTTATCCAAAGAGTGATTGCGTTCAAATAATACATGTACAACAGCCAATATAAATAATTGTATTAGAAACCGGTTTGTCTTGCTTTGTTTCATTTGTAGGATATTTCATATGCCAAGCTGTGTGCTATTACGTTATGGGGAAATTAAGATGCCAATTTTTCCTTATTATACACAAATAGAAGATCCGGAAACTTCACCCATAAATGTGGAATTGATTTGTCGATATAAAAATCACCCTTTTATAAATGTGTTTCGATAATATACTTATGCTATATAACAGTTAGAGGTGTTGACACAACGACCTCGAACCTGTGAACCCTTGAGTATTATTCCGGGATCGAGCCTTTTATACTAAACGGTGAGCAACACCAGAAACGAGTGTTCGATTTGCTAAACGATATGCGTCACCCTTTGATGGATGATTTTAGTCAAATAGAATTTTTGGATGGCGGGAGTCAATCTGAAATGTACTATTAATTAAACACATTTGTAACAACATTTAAATATTGATCTTTTTCCAAAAACTGGCTTCTCAATAAATTACTATGTAAGATTGTAGAATTAATCCTAACCACATGTTATTGTATAAGTTAAGTGTATGTCATCCATCTATCAATCTATATAAATAGTTGTCATATTCATTCTTACTTAATGTAATTATAGACATTTTTACATAAGGGTCTGCAATGTGCTAAATCATTCAAAAGTACAATGTACAACATTAATCTTGACTAACTAAAAATTTCTATATATAAATATTATACATAATTTTAGTAAATACTGACAAACTCATTATTGATCAATAGGATCATAAATTAAGTTTGGTGTTTAATGCAGCCATCTGTGCAAGATAAATATTTGTTCATAACTAATAACATACTTCACTGGTGATAGAAAGGACACAATAAGCAACATTCAAAAGTACAACTACATGTATACAGGGTACATTATAAATGAAAAGTTAACGTGTGTATATTAGCATTTTCAGGCTGTATCCACGTTGCTTCTCTATTATGGACTTGTTAAAGAACATTAGTTCCATTTAAAATAACATTCCTAGTTAGAGAATTGACAATACATGTATATATAAAAATTGAAAACGGATCTCTTCATTAGATAAATGCTTTGGACAGCACCCACGATACCAGATAAATTTCACAAATTAGTCTGAAAATATGACTGAGATATGTTGACTCTGGGATGTTAAATTTTGGCACTGTATTACATACAATTCTCAATGCTAGAAGTCCATAGTTAAGAAGCTCCAAATTGAAGTTGAAACTCGATGATTCAGTATTATTTATCCAAGTAACACATTTCATCTGATGGCGTTGCACCTAATGTATCAGAAATATATTTAACAATCATTTCAGCTATTCTTTCTTTTTTGACAATGCGCTTCAGAGTGCACATCATTGACAAAAGTCATGCTCCGATTCTAATTTGTGGTTTTAATAAGATTTTTTGCACATGTATGACATGAAATGAATGGAGTTGTCATCAAGAATGGTTGCACAAGACTGAAATTGAGCAAGGGTACTGAGGGACAGGAGCACACATCTTAGATACATACGATTAATGGGATTAATGGTTCAAAGCCAAATATCAGAGGGATCAGAATTACCTGGTTCTGGGCCAGGAATCAGAGGATTAACTGGTTCTGGGCGGGGAATCAGAGGATTAATTGGTTCTGGGCAAGGAATCAGAGGATTAACTGGTTCTGGGCAAGGAATCAGAGGATTAACTGGTTCTGGGCGGGGAATCAGAGGATTAACTGGTTCTGGGCCAGGTATGAGAGGATTAACCTGTCCAGTGATTGGGAGTTCAGACTGAAGAATAGTATCCATAGAGTGAAAGGGAATAAAAGATTGATTTAATGGCAGTAGAACATTTTCACTCTGTTTTGATGTTGGAGGGTGGGAGTCAGCAATTTTGACTGGCATTATGTTAGAATCTGCACCAGAGCCTTCATGTTTGAATTCAGGTGTACTTTCTTCTTCAATATGAGGTATTACTGGATTGTCAAGGTCAATGGGAATATGAACAGTTTCATCTGTATCTTTGTAACTCTGGATGTTTTTGGCCAAGATAAATGGTTGCACTGTTAAACCAGATAAATCATCTGGTCTTTCAAGCTTTCTAATCTTGTGAACATGGACCCAATGCTTCTGCCTATATGCAGTGTTACCAAATACAAGGCCACATAGTCTACAAACTACTAGACGCTTTCCATTATGAACTGTCTGGTGTGCTATCAATGCATTAGAAGAACCAAATCTCAAATTACACACTGAACATTTCCAGCTGAGAGTAATGCCATGCTTTTTGAACTTGTGTCCTGTAAGACATTTTCGTTTTTCAAATGCACAATTACACAAATCACAATCTACCAAATGTTTTCCTTCATGCTCCACTGCAACATGTTTGCGATGTAAAAAGATATCCTTGAATACCTCATCACACATCTTGCATATAAATGTAAGTTGTGAATTCTTAATGTCATGATCAGCTTCCAAATGTGAATGAAGTCCTGTCTCAGTGGCGAAAGATCTCCAACAAACAGTGTTATCAAATTCACATTTGCATGGATTCTCATGCCATTTGGCATGTGAGTCAAATTTACATTTTATGTGAAATTCCAAGTGACACTGTGCACACCGATACTTGCATGGCTTTTCCTCTTTCAATTTCCTAGCCTTACGCTTTAGTTTATTCCCAGAATGTTTCATCTGAATATGACGTTTAAGGTGATGTTGTGTATGAAAAGGCTTACTACACTTGTCACAGCTTAACTTCCAATCAATCATGTCCATATGATTTCTATTTTCATGATTTCTCAAAGCTGTTTTTGTGTAAAATTTCTTGTCACAAAAATCACACTCTCTGTCTAGTATCTTACTGTGAATCTTAGAATGTTCATTCAACGTAGACTTTTTGAAAAATTTCTTGCCACACGTTTCACATATATGCTTCTTATCTTCCTCTGTCCCATGCACCATAAGCATGTGGGTTTTTAAATATGCTTGGCTTTTAACAGAAACTGCACAAATTTCACACAAAAACTCTTCCTCAACATGAACGATCTTTATGTGATTTTTTAACGCATACCTTCTTGGAAAATATTTATCACACTGTTGACATTTAAAGTTCCGTTCATGATGATAATATTTCATGTGGGCTGAGAGGTCTGTTGTTGCTTTATCACACAATGGGCAACTTTTGCATCGTGAGTATGTCTCAGTGGTACATACTGAGGTATGCTGAAGATAACGCCACAATGTCTTAAAGTGTTGTCCACAAACGGGACAATTCAGCTCATCTGGAAAGAATGTAAAACAAAATATAAGTAGGTAAATGGCTATTTCATCCCAATGTTTGCATTCATGCATTGATCTTCTCTTGGTGGTCTTGAAAACAGTCAATAAATGTTATAAAACATATTGGGTTGTATACATTACATGTAAATAGGTACTTCAAATATTAAACAAGGCACAGGGTGAACAATATTGTACCTAAAACATAGCAGTATGGGCTTGAACTTCTAGAACTTCTTACCATGTAACATGTGTAAAAAAATTTTTTATTTATTTTTTATTTCATAAACATATATACGAGGGTTGTCCCATAAGTCTTGAAATTTTTATTCTAATTCAAAAAGATTTTGATGAATTTGTCTGAAAATTGGTATATATCAAGATCAATCAATTATCTTCAACATGTGATAGTTTCATAACAAAATTATGAACTTGAGTAACTATTATGGTTGCTATGGTAACCGGGGGAGTCGGGGGGTGGGGCAGTAATGAAATATAGTAAAAATGTAAAATGGAGCCGTGGGAGTATTAAGGATTTTAAAGGATGGTATGTATCTTAAATTGTGAATCACCTGTCAAGATTGACAAAAGCACTGTATTCTTGGTAAAATCCTATGAAATACCTCTGTGATGTCATAATAAACTAGCACAATTGCTCAATTTTGGTACAGAGCCACAGCATTTTGAAAATCAAAATGGCAGGGATTTTGTCACCAGATGTTAAATCTTTGCGTGCAGTTGTGCAATACCACGCCTCCTTAAGGCATACACCTACACAAACAAGAACAGCCATGGAAAAAGTATATAGACAGTAAACTCCAAGTGCACCTACAATATGGAGGTGATAGAAGAAGTTAAAAACTGGAGATACCAGCCTGGAAGATGCTCCTAGAAGTGGAAGGCCAAAATCCAGTGACAATCTCATATCACATATTGCAGAGAGTAGGCCTATAAGGGCTGAAATGAGAACTACTCAGTGTAGGAAGATCGCTAAGACTTTGATATTAGTAAGAGTACTGCTCACAGAGTGATGAAGAAAGACCTTTGGATGTCAAAGGAAGCCCCTAGATTCATTCCACATATTCTGAAAGAGGAGCAGAAAAGGCAACGTGTTGAGCTGAGCCAGGGGTTCCCAAATCCTTAATTTTCACGTCATATTTGTATTTTTATCCTGTTTTCTGCCCCGGGTACCCCCAACATTCCATTTTTAATCATCTGTAACATTACCAAATGATCTTATTATGCTATGAAACTTACAGAGATAGTAGAAATATATCTACGTTAGAAAATGTGAAATTTTTATCATTGTATCTCAAATATTCTATAAATAAGAATAAAAATTTCAAGACTTATGGGACAACCCTCGTACAAGGCAAAGATAACAATTTACAAAAAAATATGTGATATATCAATGTACAATATTTATATATATGGATGTATATAAATCAAAAATATTTTAGATAAAGTACACATATCCTTATATATTTGGATTTTGTAATTTTTCAGTAAAACATTTTAGTCTTTCTTTTAACCTTAATATTCTGTTGTTCTTCGAAATATTTAAACTTTCGATAACATTTTTTAATTAACACACAATCAGAGAAAGGAAAATTGTTTCTTTGTACAGGGTGGGCCAAAAAATTTTGCAACCTTTTTAGAAGGCACAAAAAGTATCATAACATTATGGTACTGACATTTTTATAGAAACTTAAGGATAGGCATATTTTACCATTCAAATACTTAAGCTAATACTGACTTCAAATTTTTTTGTCAGATGTTTGAATATTAATGGTAAATTGTTCATTTGTCCGAGATTTACCATTTTTCCTAGAAAATCTGACTTTCTATGATTTTATGTGATCAACAATAACACATTCATTATGTTTACTAAATCTGCTTCAATCTTTGATGTTTAACCAATGTCTAGTACAGGTCTATATCAGTATCTAGTTACTATGGTAATATTGTTACACTGTATTAATTATTTATTAAACAAATGTTCAATGCATCCGCCTTTCACCTTCACAATCACATGGAGACAAGAACTGGTCAATGGCGAGATCCAGCAGTTCTTGTGGAAGTCGTCTCCACTTATCCTGCAGAACTTCTTATAGTTGATCAATAATTTGTGGGGTATAACCATTAACTACAATACATTGCTCCAGGTGCCCCCATGTGTGATAGTCCCAGGGATTGGCATCTGGTGTATTGGGTGGCCATTCAACTCAGGACTAATCTTCTTCAAAAGGGACATCTTTCAAGAATGGGGGCTCTTTCAGCCCCAAGTGATTACATATTCCAGCAGGATAGCGCTCCTGACCATAGGCCAAAAGTCACTATAGAATATCTGGAGCAAAATACCCCTTGATTCATTAGTCCTGATGAATTGCCGCCCAATACACCACTTAAAAAAGATTGCAGCAGATTTAGTGAACATAACTAGAAAAACAGCAACTCCACGGAGTAGCAAATCCCACCGAACGGCAGTTGAGTTACCAAAGATTACGAAAATGAAAATGAAAAATGGCAGCCATTCTGAAGATCAGCCGCCATCTTAAAAAAATTTTCTCGAACAGAGCTACTGTGTTTCTAGGCATCAGCATATAAAATTTGAACCAAATCTGTTCACTGGTATTTGACTTATCAAAGATTACGTTTTTTCTTATGAAAAATGGCTACCATTTTGAAATTCAGCCGCCATCTTGAAAAAAATTTCTCGAACAGATCTACTGTGTCCCTAGGAATCATCATATAAAAAATGAGCCAAATCTGTTCACTGGTATTTGAGTTATCAAAGATTACGTTTTTTACAAAAAATGGCGTCCATTTTGAAATTCAGCCGCCATCTTGAAAATTCTTTCTCGAACAGATCTCCTTTGTCCCTAGGCATCATCATATAAAATTTGAGCCAAATCCATTCACTGGTGTTTGAGTTATCAAAGATTACCTTTTTTTACGAAAAATTGCCACCATTTTGAATATCAAGCCGCCATCTTGAAAATTCTTTCTTTAACAGATCTATTTTGTCCCTAGGCATTATCATATAAAATTTGAGCCAAATCCGTTCACTGGTATTTGAGTAATCAAAGATTACGTTTTTTTACGAAAAATGGCCACCATTTTGAAATTCAGCGGCCATCTTGAAAATTGTAACTCGAACAGATCTACTGTGTCCCTTGGCATCATCATATACAATTTGAACCAAATTCGTTCACTGGTATTTGAGTTATCAAAGATTAAGTTTTTTTACGAAAAATGGCCGCCATTTTGAAATCTAGCCGCCATCTTGAAAATTTTTACTGGAACATATCTACTGTGTCCCTAGGCATCAGCATATAAAATTTGAACCAAATCCGCAAACTAGTATTTGAGTTATTAAAGATTACATATTTTACGAAAAATGGCGGCCATTTTGAATTCAGTGGCCATATTGAAAATTCCTTCTCGAGCAGAGGTCCTACACCCATTAGGCATAAGCCTATAAAATTTGAATCAAATCCGTGAAACGGTATTTGAGTTATCGCCCGGACAAACAGACGGACAGACGGACGGACAGACGGACGAACGGACGAACGGACGGACGGACGGACGGACGGCTTTCCTATATCCTTCTCGAACTTCGTTCGGTGGGATAATAAATGTTCTATCGATGATCACATAAAATAACAGAAAATCACATTTTCTGGGAAAATCGGTAAATCTCGGACACATGAACAATTTACCATTAATATTCAAACATCTGACAAAAAAAAATTGAAGTCAGTATTAGCTTAAGTATTTGAATGGTAAAATATGCCTATCCTTAAGTTTCTGTAAAAAAAATTTCATGTCAATACCATAATGTTATGATACTTTTTTTGCCTTCTAAAAAGGTTGCAAAATTTTTTGGCCCACCCTGTATTTTTCAAAATTGTTTGAATGGTTGACCCAATTTGAATATATCGTGTATCCTACTATTGTTATAACTGTATTTCTGAAAAAAGCTACATCTCCTTCCAACAGGTAAAAACCTAATATAAAATATTTCCAACTCAGGTTACAATTCAGAATTCTTTCAATTTTTTTCCATATATCTTTTACTAAATCACATTCTAAAACCAAGTGTTTTGGAGTTTGTATTTCTTTACATTTGTAACAATATTGACTTATTTCTCTATTCCATTTATATAATGTGTTTCCACAAGTTAAGATATGATAAAAAATTTAAAAGTTAAATTCTGCATGTTTTCTATTGAGCATATTTATGATTTTTGACAGATAAACCTTTCTATAAAAAGATATATTATTTGGAGTATTGAAAACATGTTTCAGTGATTCTCCATGATTGTTCTTTCTTGTTTCTCCTGTAAAAGTATTTCATATATTAACTTGCTGGTTATCTTATGTACATTTATCCATTTATTGTTCTTTAATAAGAATGTAATACTCTTCTTTATATTCATATACTTTGCCATTTCTGTTTTTACATTTTTAGTTATTCTATTTATAAAAGTTTTTATCTTGATGTATTCTATCATCCAATTTTGCTTTTTTATTAGCTTATTTATTATATACATTTCATCTACAAATTGTCCATTTTCTGTAAAGAAATCCTTAACGTTGGTATGTGAGTTGTTTTGATTATGATTTAAATCTAAATCTGATTTAAATCTGAAGTTTAAATTGTTACGTCTTACAATGTCATAGGCATCGCCAGGAGGGGGTGGGATGGTGCTATCGCAACCCCCCTCCCCCATAACCAATGAAAATATGACCATGATGATAGAGGAAGAAAAGAGCCATAAAATGCTTTTTATTTGAAGCTTCTAGCTAAATTTTGAAGGAAGATACATACATTTTGGTAAATTCAAAACAAATCTTACACGTTTTCTAATGATCTATTTATGTTATAAATTCGTATTTTTCGTTTTTTTGGGGTACCCAGTTTGAACCCAGCACGGAGGATTTACAAGGAGGATTTATTACCCGGTACCCGTTTTTTCTACAAACCCCCACTTAGTGGTTTTCCTGGAATCGCGATGACAAGATTTATATAAGAACTTCCAAAATGGCCGCCAGAATGCAAGATGGTGTTGAAAGATTAATCAGCTCTAGAAGTTTTTACGATGTAACATAAGTGAAAATTTGGAAAAAATCCGTTAAATTTGAATTTGACTGCCGAAAAGTTAATCAGCTCTAGAACTTCTTACTATGTAATATGTGTGAAAATTTGAAGTAAATCCTGTAGAGGTTTTCCTGGAATTGCAATGACAAGATTTATTCAAAAACTTCCAAGATGGCTGCCAGAATGCAAGATGGCCACCCAAAAGTTAATCAGCTCTAGAAGTTCTCACTATGTAACATGTGTGAAAATTTGAAGTAAACCCGTCAAGTGGCTTTCCAGGAATTGTGACGACAAGAAAGTGAGACATTGTCCACACACCCACCCATCAAGCTGACAACAATATCGTACCTTTTTTAGGTACACAACTCCACCAATAGACTAGATGTTCATAGAAATAATCTTGATTTACATCTAAAAATTCAAAATTTAGTGAAAGTGATGTAAAATTACATATAGAAATGTGGATTTAAAAAGTGTTAATCAACTTTGAAAATTCAATTTTCTTTGAAAATATGACTCCTAGGCCGGAGAGATTCCCCATAGACCTTATGTAATAAAATCACAAAAAGTGAAATATCTTTTCTCGTATTGGACAGAATATTTTCTTCACTGAACATATTTTAATTTGTATAACTAGATAACGGCAACTCCGCGGAGTAGCAAATCCCAACGAACAAAATATCAATTACCGAATTCCAATCAATTATACTCATTACTTTGGTTAAAATTGGAAAATTTAGATATAAGAATTGCGAATTCCTGTAAAACAGCCATTTTGAATTTTCTGAGGTACAAATCTGAAAAATAATACCATAATTGTGATCTACTCCAAAATTCCTTCAATTTGAGTATTATATAGCCATACTTTGAAGGGATAATAGATAGATGTTGCGAATATACCACCAAAATTTCAAACAATAATATTAATTACTTTGGTTTAGAATGAAAAATTTATGATTTTTGCGAAAAAGTCCCGTCATTTTTAAAGCGGCGGCCATCTTGAAAAAATCCATTTTAAATTTTCTGAGGTACAAATCTGAAAAATAATACCATAATTGTGATCTACTCCAAATTTCCTTCAATTTGAGTATTATATAGCCATACTTTGAAGGGATCGAAAAATTATTGCGAAATCGTACATTAGACGGCCATTTTGAATTTTACGAGGCTCGAATCAGAAAAAAGATACAATATTTGCAATCTACTCTTAATTGCCTTTCATTTGAGTATACTAGTAATAAAGCTATACTTCAGAAAGATCTAAAAATTACCGAAAATGTCTGTTTTCCCGACCCCCCATACACGGCCCCTGGGGGTCAGGATGAAAAACACAGAATATATGTGAAAAGGATAGATGTTGCGAATATACATTCAAAATTTCAAACAATAATATTAATTACTTTGGTTTAGAATGAAAAATTTATGATTTTTGCGAAAAAGTCCCGTCATTTTTAAAGCGGCGGCCATCTTGAAGAATTTTTTTATTGCGTAAAACTATTCATCAATATACATCTTTCCACCATATATGAAGAAAATCCGTCAACTAATATTTGAGTTATCTTCCGGATGGACATCTTGTAATATATAGATACACTGTCCCACATGTTTTGTTAAAGAGCAACTGAAGCATACAATCTTCAGACGGACGGACTGACTGACTGACTGACTGACGGACTGACGGACGGACGGAGGGCTTCACTATATCCCTACCGAACTTCGTTCGTTGGGATAACTATCAGATAGATCAAACTCCGATTGTACTATATGGTATAACGCATACTGAGTGAACACTGTGCATAAAGGTGATATGAAATGCTATCTGACCTGAATTAGCCACCTGGTGGTGAAAGTGGTAACTACCTGCTCGCATCAAATTCTTTGGCCCAAACTTGTGACATTTTTAATTTGGGCCTAAAAATAGGATTTATTTGTAAAATTGTTCCTCCAATTATGAAAAATGGACTTGAATTTTCTCTTCAGTTTCCAGGTCTACCACTGACTTTGCTAATAGTCTCATGAAACATAAAGAGCAAATGAATTACGAAAAATTCTGAATTAATAAAATACAGTTTTCAACTGACCTTTATTTAGGGAATCAAGATCAATATCTGGATGATCAACTTTAATGTGGCTGTAGACCTCATCATGGCTGCTACATTGTTTAGTACAGTAGAAGCATTTGTACTTGTGACCAACTACAATAACAAGTTACACATGAGCTCATTCTACAATCAGGATGGTTTTAGATGGCTTTTGGATAATTTTCTAAAACTACCTTTGGAAGTAAGTTATGGAACTTCAAAAATGAAAATGTTACTAATGAATTAAAATTAAAACAACATTCAAATGTTTAATGTGTTCTTTCTACCTTTCACAAGATGTCCTAGCTCAACTGCCAATGCTGCAGGCTGTTCAGTCCCCACTTCATCTACATCAAATTCGCTGCCCTCACTTGACTCAGCATCACTATAGAGCAGTTCCATTTCCTCATCAACCTCTGTGTCCTCATCACTTCCTTCAGTTTCTAGGCTTGCAGCTATGTCATTGTCAGTGTCTTCTTTTGGGTGATCATCCAGTTTGTTGTGTTTTTTCTTTTCTGTCTTTGCTTTTTTCTTCTTTTCTTTGAGAATGCTTCTAGGTATCCATTCACGATCTTCTTTCTCCATCCATGCTTTTTCTAGAATGATTAACATATTTTATATGGAATCATGTTACGTCTCTTTTTTCTATAGTACTATATCAATATATATATATATTTATCCCATACTTGGACGTGTTATAGGTACATAAAGCGGGTTTGTAAAAACTTATATTTTCATCAGCGGGCAGATATAGCTTTACGTCCCGCTCCGAGCGGGCAGATATAGTATATCTGCCGTCATAATCGCCGTTCGCATATTGGTTCATTTTGTAACGTTTGCAACTGTAAACGACAATGGAAAAACGCAGACAATTGCGATCTGTTTGATGGTTTATAGAAGGGAGGGAGCATCCTTAATTAAAAATCAAAGATTCGAGAAAATAAATGTGGGTGAATATCCGACCACGACCAAGAAAACAAAACTGGACATGAATGGTCTAAAATATGTCCACGGTTTAATGGAAATTTTCTAAGCTGTGGCCAATTGAACAATGTGAACCAAATGACCAAGATCGGTATGGGATAAACAGATCATCCTATAGTCAGTTCAGGATATTGGCATTATCCCTTGGCAAATATAATATATCTGCCCGAGGGCTGTAGTTCCCGAGGCCTCGAGATAATCCCAATATCCTGAACCTCATATAGGATAATCTCTATATATAGGTTATTTTCTGGGAGGGATTGAATATGGGTTTTATTCTGAGGGACAATATGATATTGACCGAGGGAGCGCAGCGACCAATATCATATTTTCCAAGGAATAAAACCCATATTCAATCCTGACCAGAAATAACCTATTCATTCCATAATACATTCCTCTAAAATGTTACATTTGGATAATGCAAACATTATATTAATAAATGCACATTGTTTGAAGATAATTTCAAAGTTATTTATCAAAGCTTTTATCAAATTGTCAAGTTTAAAAATAACCGGGAAACGAAAAATAGATTATAAGCTCCAATACAATTTTTTCCCAGGGACAATACGATTTTTTTCCCGGGAACAATACGACTTTTTCATGTAATATGATTCAATACGATTTCTATTCCTTCATATTTCCCTGGGAAAAAAGTAGTATTATGGAATAAATAACTTTTATGACATATTGTATGATTACATTATTACATTAGTCACAACTGCTCACTAAAAGTAACTAAAAACTTCTTCTATATTTACAAAGTAATGTACAAAATATAGACATTTATTTTGATAACTAAGACCATGTAAGTTTACTTTTTTTAAATATAAAGTCTAACCCTCCAGTCCAATTGATATCAAAGAGCTTTTAATAAAGAATTTTGACATCTTAGCATAAAACTGTTCTTGAAAGAAATATTGTCCAGCTAAAATCAATCTTGCTGTACATGTATCTAGAAGAGCAAAAGTAGACCTAGTGAAGTAAAGCTGTTGCATTGACTCAGTTTTGAAAATAATCCTCTGCGCAACAGATAACATAACATTAAAGATACTGTATGACCTTCGATAGCAAGTCGCTATTACAGTCTCAGCTGTAGTGGCTAGCCTTAATGGCTCAGGGGTAGAGCGTCTGACTCGAGAGCGGAAGGTACTGGGTTCGAATCCCGTATTGGGCTTTGAATTTAGCACATTCTCTTTTGAGTCTAGTATCTGGCTCGGTACACTACAGCTCCCCGACGAGCATGCCCAAGGGTCGTTACAATACTATAACATAACTTGCATGTACCGTGAAACAATAAATCTACTTACTTTTTCGGATTTCTTCAAGAAACTTTTTCCTTTCTTTGTCAATCGCAGGCCTTATGCGGGGCTTAGGAGGCTTTTGTATGGTTAGTATACCAGGCACAAGCTCCTCTGTATTGCTCCTTCTAGTATTGAACCTACAAATAAAATATAAACTAATAAAATAAACATTTGGAAAGTTTATGAATTAAAGTAGATAGTAGCCGGGACAGAACAAGTCATACACTTTTTTGTTCCTGATAACTTTTTAAATTCTGAATAATTTTTCATGAAATGTTCACTGGATTCACAACATACAAAATCTTTTGTTTAACTCATCATTAATAATCTTTATAATTACAGCTTTTCAAAGATCATGGCCATATTGTGTTTTTTGTTTGAAAATGATAAAATGACTTATTTTTCTCTCTGGAATAAGTATTATCTTCATTCCAATCAAAATCATATTTTCTCAATGTGACTTTTCACCGAGAAATAGTTTCATTTGTTACCTTATTTTAACAAAGTGTCAGTGCATTGACCTTATTTAACATGCAAATTGAATTTAGGTCTATGTCTACCTCTGATTCTTTGGAACAATATCCATTGTCATGTTGCTGTTTAACATACAGTATCTCCCATGTTTTACTTGGACACCAATTTAAACATCATATCAAATAACTTGAACTGAATATGTATTATTTGTTATAATTGATACTTGCTTAATTTATGGATTGCTTCTTGAATTCTGACCTACCATGGCATCTATAATATGCACTTTCCATTCAAGAGATATGTTTCATCAGCTACACAAAGAGATTAAGACAAGAAATAGAAATATTTTAGGGTCAATGGTAAGGAGCAAAGACATTAAATTGCACATCATATCTTCAATTGATTATCCATAATTTATATCATTTTATTATTTTCAACTCATAAATTATGTGAAATAAATGAAATACACAAGCAAAAATGCAGGTACATAAGACAGTATGAGCTTGCACTCAAAATCAATAACTGCTAGAATTGTTCTCCATTTCCAACAAAATGGTCAAGTTGGCCAACATATTTAAAAAACTGTAATTAAAATGAAAATTGATTATGACTTAAATAAAAGATTTTGTACATTAGGAATGCTTGAAAGTTTATCCAGTGAAAATTTCATGAAAAATTATAGAGGATTGAAAAAGTTATGAAAAGAGGTGTATGACTTGTTCTGTCCTGGCTACTATAAACAGTGATTTTTACCTTCAGCAACTTTGGAAGAAATTAACATTCAAATCAAAGTATGAGTGCTATTTGGCGCTTTCTGGGCACTTTCAAAGTGTATGAGTCAATTTTGGGGGAGGTGTCAAAGAGGATGCGAGGGTGAGGTGGGTTTGGGTGCCAGACGAAGAGCAAGGGGTTGTCTCCCAGAAACATTGACCATATCGAAGTACTATTTGATTTATCTGGGTATATTAAGTGTCCGAGACAATATATGAAATTCAGAATTTTTTCAATTGTTTTGTGGGGGATGTAAGGGGTGGCCGACTCTCCTAGAAAAATTTACAATTTAAAGATGATATATGGTGCTTTCTTGGCACTTTTAAAGTGCAGAATCAATAAATTCTTTTTTTTGGGTGGGGGTGTCAAATGGGGTACCAGAGGAGGAGGTGGGGTTGGGGTGCCAGAGGGGGAGCAAGTGTTTGTCCCCCAGTAAACCATATCAAGGTGCTATTTGATGAAGTCTGGGCACTTTAAAAGTGTCAGAGAAAATACATGAAATAAAAGAATGTTTTGTCAATTGTTTTGTGGGGGGTGTCGGGGGTGTGAGGGTTGGCCTACTTCCCTAGAAAATTTTACAATTGAAGATGCTATTTTGTGCTTTCTTGGCACTTTCAAAATGTATGGGTCATTAAAAAAAAAACTGAAAAAATCAAAACTTTTTCAAATGTTTGGGGGGTGTCAAAGGGCAGAGGGGGAGGTGCTGTAAGGATGCAAGAGGGGAAGCAAGTGGGTGGGTGGCCTATTTCCAGACCTGCCAACCTACCGTATTTTTATGGGAATCTACCTGCCAGCCTACCGTATTTTTACGGGAATCTACCATAAAAAATTACCATTTTTTCCCGTAAAATTGACAGTAAAAAAATCTACCGTATTTTTAACGAAATCTACCGTGAAATATTTTATTAAAATTCGATTTTTTCTATAAGATACCGTAAGTATTTGGAAATCTACTGTATTTCTGCTGAAATTAACAATATTCTTGTTCAAACTACCGTAAAATCTACTGTTATTATTTGGAAATTCTGAAAAATTGAAGTTTCCTGTATTTCCCTTGTAATATTCAAAAATTAATAGGTGTAGGCAGGTCTGTGCCAATGGTTATTGCGTACTTAGTAAGTAACTAAGTAAGCTGGCTTGCAATCAGTCAACACACTGGGGAGAATCGTGATGCAAAAACAAAGTGTCAACTACCACAGGTTCTACTGTTGTTATAATAAAAACACTGAAGTGTTCAAATTGTTAGTCTGTTTATGAGAGTTCCATGCATGCTATTTTAGAAAAATATACTTTATTTGTTATTCATTGAAGTGTGTCAAAATCTACGCAAAATCAGTTTGTGATCAAAAAACTTCCGCAATTTTTTTAAAAATCTATCGTAAAACTAACACATTTTCAAAATCTTCCGCAAAACTACAGTTTTTTCAGAAATCTACCACAAAAACTACCGCATTTTTTTCAAAGTCTACCGTAAAACTACTACATTTTTCAAATCTTCCGCAATACTACCGTCTTTACAAAAATCTACCGCAAAAACTACCATACTTTTTCAAAATCTACTGGTAAACTACCGCATTTTACTTTAGAAGTGTCTGAGACACCAAATAAAATAAATTCAAAACTTCAATTTTACAATTTCTAGATGCTATTTGGTGCTTTCTGGGCAATTTCAACGTGTGAGTCAATCAAAAAAAATTAGAAATAAATTATATTTTTCAAAAAAAATTATTAAGCCATCCAAACAGTCACTGTTTGATAGGAAATCTTTTCATATCATTATCTGTCCTATTATGTGTGTCATTCTTACTAAGATATTGTTACAATGGTTTCCATTCAACAACCTCAAATCAATTAAAAAACAATCATCAAATACAAAGCCAATAACTTACTATCAATAAAATCAAATTTATTCATACATTTTAAACAAATATATTTTTTATGATGCTATAATGTTTTATGCCTCAATCCACTTATAAAATAATGATCTAAATACTGTACTGTATTTTGCCAATTTTGAGAATTCACGATTTTGCGACTATTCCATTTCACAGATTTCTCATGTTTAAATTTCATTATTCTCTGAACCCTCAGGGGCGGATCTGGGAACCAACAAGGGGGGGGGGCAAATTACAGGTATGATAAAAAAAATGCTGAGCTTGCGCGGAAAAAAATTTTGGGCCCCTAATACCAAAAAGTGAATATCTGAGGCCATTTTTCTTCAAAATATGGCCCAATATAAAAAATAAGGCCTTAAAAGACCCAGTAATGACCAAAAAGGCCCACTTTTTGGGACCCAATTTTTTCTGAAAAACCTCCCCCCAGATCCGCCAGTGACCCTCACTCTGTAAACTATGTTAATTTATGTACAGTCATAAGATTTACAATTACTCAATCTTTGTCAATGACACGCTGGACCTCAACCTCTATTACATCGCCATTTTTTGGTTTATTTGATGCCAATGCAAGAGATATATCTATTTATCACCTAATAACATAGGATAAAAGTTTCACAAAAAAACAAAAAGCATCAGCATCTCTGGTAATAACAAAACATATCCCTGGGAACCAAATCAGCAAATCTCAAAAAGTGTGGAACTAAATCAACCTGAAAAATACCAGTACAGTGAAAATAAATTATTTTTAAAATTTGCCAAATCCAGTTACACATTTTGCCTGAAATGCAGTGTACATGTATCTTAAGAAATTCTCCAGAGATATGGTACACAATTATTATAGATCATAAATAAGATGATATATACAGTATCATACATAGTAAATAATCTATTAATCTACATAATATTAAAATATTAAGCACAGTTCTACATTAACCATGAAACATCTTGAAATCATAAATGTCCTGGCTTTCCTCAAGAATACAATTAGACAATTAAGTCATATCGTTTAAGTGATGTAACAAACAAAGGCTTATTAATTACCAGCCCCAGTGTTTGTTGTTGGTTGCAAACCTGCCACAGCACCATTATTAATTGCAGATGACTTAATAGTTGGAACTGTTATTACAGAGGAAGGTTCATCAAGGTCTTTTTTAATTCCTACATATGGTTGATTGAACTTAAGTGCATTACGTGGAGGATCTATTGCATGAATATAAGGATTGTTAATGTCAATGAAAATTCTATGGTCATCTCTATCAATAATGGTGGTTTCTTTAGCATACACAAAAGGCTTAGTTTTCATATCAGACAGATCATCTGGGTTTTCAACTCTCTTTGTCTTGTGAATTCGAACCCAGTGCTTTTGCCTATTTGCTGTATTTGAGCACACAAGACCACATAACTTGCACACAGATGGATTCTTTCTTTCATGAACAATAGTTCTATGAACACATAGTGCATTAGTTGATGGGTAAAACAAATGACACATTTTGCATTGGTTCACTTTACCAAGTCCATGTCGAATTCGATTGTGATTTACTAATAATCTGGCAGAAGAACAGATATATTCACAACTATTGCATTCAATCAACTCTCTTCCTTCATGTATGGTTACCATGTGTGCTTTGTATGTTTTCCTATCACCTAGATAAACCCCACAAATTGTGCATTTAGTATTCAAACTATGTTCTTCATTCTGATGTGTCAGTAAATATTTCCTACTTGAAAATGACTTTGAGCAAGTGTCACTTATTTCACATTTAAATGGTTTTTCGTGGGACTTCATATGGATTTGTAATCTCACTTTGTTTTTTAACATTTTGTCACATTGAGAACATTTATATTTATATTTACTTTTATAAGTTTTGGGAGGAATTCCCAAATGCTTCTTCTTGAAGTGTGCTTTGAGAGAACCCATTGTTGGCCAAAGTTTTCCACACTGATCACAACTGAAGCGCCTTTCTGTATGACATGACAATATGTGATTTTTCAATGTATGTTTTCTGCGAAACTTTAAATTACATTGATCACACGCTAAGTCATATGACTCGTTGTGAGATTCCAAATGAGTTTTATACGAATAGTAGTTTGCATACCTAGAACCACAGACTGTACAAACATACTTCAAATCTTCTTCCTTTGCATGGGATCTTAACATATGCCCTCTATATGCAGACACAGCTTTAAAATCAGAACCGCAAATTTCACAAATAATTGGATTCTCATTATGCACAGTCCTCATGTGTTCATTTAAAGCACCCTTAGAAGCAAACATTGATCTACACATTGCCTTTTTGCATTGCATGGTTTTTACATCATGCACTGTCTTAACATGTACTGTTAAGTTCACAAATGTTTTGTTGCATAAAGAACAGAAATGAGCCTTTTTGTAAGTGTCTGGAGTACAGCTCAACTTATGATAGAGATATTTGTACTTGGTTTTATACATGGCACCACATATTTCGCATTTCAGGCTTTCTGAAAAAGACAAAACAAATTATTCTTATATAGGATGTTAATAGGCTTAATTCCAAATAGTCTGTATCATAAAGTTGTATTCTTGCTTCAATTAAAACATGTAAAAGGTGTTACTATGTCAATTTTATTTCCATACTGAATCATTCACCTTTATTCAGGAATTCTATACCAGATTCAGGATGCACTTCAGCTATATGCTCATCACGGGTGGCCCTGTCTATGAATCTATCAGGGCAATATACACAGAATAATCCTGCTCCAGAAACTGTAATAAATGAGATGAGATAAAATGTGAATGCTGCATGCAATATAAACAGGTTTCAAAACTTAACTCAATTTTGAGCCTAGTCATGCCAAGTTCCTTCATTAGTTTCCTCCTGCTCCTTTCTTTAGTCTTACATCTTGGCTTCCATTCATAGTCATTCTTTTTACCTGTACAATCATTTATGAAAACCTTTCAAGTAATATGAAGTTAACTATGTTGGAATTTCAATTTAATTTAACTAGAACTTGACCATTCCAATATTCAATTTATTCAAGTAATTTATCTTATTCGTCTAACTCATGAGATAATACAACCACCTGTTGCAATGACAAAGTTCATTCACTTGTTACAACTGGTGCTTAACTCAAATGGTGATTACAAATGTCACCACCACCAATTCAAAGAGGTAATTGGTGGCAAAGTTTTCTTTAGTTAAAGTACACTGGCCTTTATATTAATGTTGGATATTCAATTTTATTTGACTTTTAATCTTTAAAAATGGGACTTACATCTGTTGATCTTGAGTAATCTTTTCCTCCTTTTCTTTTTGTTTTCTTCTGTAATTGTCTTTTTAAAACGCTTCTTTGGAGTAGCAACATCTTCAATAAGGTCTGGTAAGAGTTCTTCGTGATGACTGCTTTGTGACGAATACCTGTTTATAAGTAGACATAATAAGAAATACATTGCCTTTATTCATTTTATGAGAAAAGATTTTCAAACTAGAAAACAATAACTCCACAAAGTAACAAATCCCACCAAACGAATTATCCATGATTCTGAAATGTCACAATACAGGGTGATCAATAAATAAGGTAAAAGTATCTGGCATTTCTTCGGATTTTACCCAATCCTCATAAAAGTTGCACAGAATAGTGTTCAAACATTATTGAATTGATATATTAAGTTACAGATCAAAGTGATGTGATTGGTTGAAGTTATAGTTGCCATAGCAACAGAAAGCATAACGACCCGGGGCAACTATCAAAAAACTAAATTTTCAGTCAAAACACTATAAAAAAATATTTCAAATCACAATTAAAGTGGCATATCATATTCTTATTTCATACTTCATAACTGCTACTTAATGTCCTTTGTTTTTAAAACATAGTTCATGTCTTCTACTCCAGGCTTTGAACACCTTAAAACCCATTTTCCCATAGCCTGCACATTTTCAAGACAGCTGGCTTCAAGTCATCCCATGAGAAGCTCTCTCAGCTCAAACTCCCTCTTCAGCTCACCATGACGGTAAAATCGTAAGGGGACAATTCAGGAGAGTATAGTACATGACCTAACTGCAAAACCCAGTGCTTCAATGGTTTGTACCGTGAGAATAGCATTGTGAGACGGAGCATTATCCCAGTGCAATGTGAAACGTTTAGTTTTGCAGGCCTCTTAGTCTAAGCTTCTTCCTCTTTCTCTTATCAAATCTCTTCTGTGGATATTGTTTTTCATCATTGACCTGTGTCATAGACTTTCTATGATCACATCAGTTTTCATTATATATTAATCTTTTCCGTGACATCAAACATCAAATTTGCAAGAAAATATGTAACAATGTCAACAAAGTATTAAAACAATGAATGCTGGCACCCACGTTTATTTCTTTTCAGTTTGAAAAAGATTTTTATCATTTTTTTGTTCAAATTGGACGCAATGAAATTGCCCCGGGTACCCCCAACTCCAGTTGCCATAGTAACTATGATATTAACACATCAGATGGGAGAAGTTATATATTTATATGGTTTAATTTAGAAATGTACAAGGTATATTCTGACCAAATTCCAGGATGTTTGGACCAATATTTACAAAATGCCAGATAGTTTTACCTTATTTATTGATCACCCTGTATAATATTTCTGTACATACAACAATTTTAAACATTAATACTCATTACTTCAGTAAGAAATAATAAAAAGCTTAGCGATGCTTTATTAGAGCTATAAACCAGACTCAACACACAAGATTTGTTTCAAACTTTCATTCAAAATGACCTATTTTAGGAAAATACTAATCAGATATTCAAATTATGCACATGTAGTTTACAATTAGTATGCTATAATATATACCATAGTGCTAAATCAGGTATACTTACATTTAAAAGTAAAAAGACTAGATTCCTCATCTCTTTCTATTTGTTTCAGATAGAACAAAATTTCGATATGAATCTTATCTGTCACTTTATCTGTCATTTAGTACTTAATGCTATATCTTATATCTTTGTTTCCTTCCAAAGGATAAGTTGTTGGGATGTTTAATGTCATTCACTTGTTGAATATATATTTTCTCTGATAGTTCCTAAAATTCCTTAGAAAATGACTCCATGCTCCTCTGAAATGATACTGGTAAAATGGTTAGAAAAGCATTAGGGAGATGCTGAAGAATCTGAAAAGTATTTTCCAAAATATGTCATTAGCATCTATAGGTCTTGATAGGTGTTTTATGTTCTCTAAAAACAATAAATCATGCTAAACAGTGTCATACTTTGGCATTAAGTACACCAAAGATGCTTAACCTATTCAAATATTTGTATCAACCATATATACTCGTATATGCAAAGTGAAATTCAAATCGTTGCCACAAATTTCAACCTTACATGTAGGTTCTGGATTATTAGTTCTAGACTACTGATAAAATTGCTAGATTATAGTTAATTCATAATTATAAACCATTCTTAAAATGGCTGTTAAAAATCTCAAACATCTTCGCATGCCCCAGTCTTCACTGCTACCTGCAGGAGCCGAGTGAACGAAGATGAATCTCAAAAGTGTATTCTTATTTCATATATTTTAAAACATCAAATTCTATTAATGAAATATATATATGAATATTTCTGAAATTTTACAAATTTGAAAAAAGCTGTCTCATAAAGAAGGATTAACTTTAAGTCAAATAGCCCAACAACAATAACTGGTAGCATATAAATCTTTCAAAATGTAAAGAAGAAAACCTAACATATTGTCTTCTTGGACAGATGGATGATTATAGGAATGAGCATACAAACACTTAAAATGATGTACATGAACTAATTACAGTGTAATGTTTGGTTTTATTTAAACATTTATTTAGTATACAGTTTATACTGATATATTGCTTACAGGTCATATTGCTATAGTAAATCCAGAGTAAGTAATAAAATAATTGGTTTTCTGATTCTGACCATTGCCTTATTTAAAGAAGTTAAAAAAACTGGCGGAAGGAATCATGACAAGCAAAATTTAAGTTTTTGAGAGCACAAGCCCTTTTCATTCATTTTTGTTGTGAGGTTGTGAGGTGTGAGATGAATCAGCAGATACAGATGAAAGGCTGGTAATGGTCAGAATCGTACACAAATCATCATTACCCATATCATAATATATGTATACTTTACCAAAATATGAATGAATGTGAATATTTTAATAAAATGAATGTATATTAATATAATGGTATTACTGATTTTACACTTAAATAAGATCATATGAAAGAGATAATGCAGGATGGGGTTTCAAAAAGGTAATAACACTATTGTCACACAGATTGTTCAAATGAAAATAACTCAAGTTCTACATGCTGTTGCATTTTCCATGTCTTGTATTTTCTAAACTTTCATTCTCTCTAGCTTGTATTATTTCTACAGAAAATTCATAAATTTCATGAATTATTTACAAATCTAAAATGTCCTTGTTTTCTTCATTGACACCACTGGACAGAGTCATGTCTTTTTTATCAAGCTGATGTGACAAAACATGCACAGGGGGTAGTGGTGACTGAGGCATTGGTGTATGCATATATGGAATATTTAATTGTGATGTACCAAGACTATTATAGTCTCCAGTAAAAGAGCTTACAGTAGGGTACAAATCTACATCGTGATCAGCAGCTTTAATGGAAGGTGATATTGAGGTCGGTGCCATTGTGCCAGAAGTTTCTGAAGATTCATTCTCACATTTATTTATTCTAATATTATCAGGGGGATCTACCGAATGGATAACAGGATTGGAAATTTCAATATAGATTTTTAGGTCATCTCTTCCAACAATATTGGTGTCTTTTGCATACACAAAAGGCTTAGTTTTCATATCAGACAGATCATCTGGGTTATCAACTCTCTTTGTCTTGTGAATTCGAACCCAGTGCTTTTGCCTATATGCTGTATTTGAGCACATAAGACCACATAATTTGCACACACATGGATTCTTTTTATCATGAACAATAGTTCTATGAACACAAAGTGCATTATTAGAAGGGTAAAACAGATGACACACTTTGCATTGGTTCACTTTCCCAAGTCCATGTCGAACTCTCTTGTGTTTAAATAATGATGCCGGATGAGAACAAAAATATTCACATTTGTTGCATTCAATGATCTCTTTTCCTTCATGCAAGGTTACAATGTGTATTTTATAGGCTCTTTGGTCCTCACATTGCTCACCACAAATCCTACATATATTAGTCATTCCATGCACTGCATTTTGATGTTTTGTCAAATCATTCTTTTTTAAAAATGCTTTTGTGCATGTTCCAGTCAGTTCACATTTAAATGGAGTGTTATGCCACTTCAAGTGCTTTTGCAACATTTCTTTCTTTCTGAACTTTTTGTCACATTCTGAACAAAAATAAATCAAATCCTCCTCCTTTGGATGATGTTTCCACATATGCTTTGAACGTGCATACTTTGTGTAACTTAGACCACATATTTCACATACAGTTAGATCATCTGTTTCAGCATGTACAGTCTTCATGTGTTGATTTAAAGAACTCTGTAGAGCAAACATCATTTTACATGAAGACACTCTGCATCTTTTCTTCTTCTCTCCATGCTTCATCTTAACATGGCCTGATAGGGAAGCAACTGTTTTGTCACATACTTTACAATAATGAGCCATTCTGTATGTCTCGGGGGTACAGCTCAACTTGTGATATAGATATTTGTACTTGGTTTTGAATTTGCTTTTGCATGTATCACATATCATGTTATCTGAAAGTATAAATTGTAATTTACTTTGAGAACATATTTCAAAGGGTTAAAATTTATTATAATAAACATTTACTACATGAACTGTACTACAAAGTGTATTTTATAACTGACACCCCACACTGAAATCGGTCAGTTAATTAAGCAGATTAGTTAATGTTTCCCTCAAGTGCTTATAAATTTATTTCAAAATTTTTGAAAATCTCAATGTTTTTACAACCTGGACATTTAAATATGCATCAAGGAATCATGTGTGACCTCTTATCAAAAGTATTTTTTATTTATTTAGACTCCATAAACTAGAATTTACTAATCAGGGATTTTTATTCATTTTGGGGAAACAGGAAATACAGCTTATTTATGCACCTCCAATTAGAAAAAAACAAAAAAAATTTGAGTGACTGTGATAAAAAACAATGATTTGATGAAGCACAGTTTTTTGATTAGCTAGGATTATAGAAGTACAGTGCTGTCAAGCTTAGCTCTAGTTGTGTTGTCTCCGTTGTTTCAATATATGTACCATTCATAAATTACCTTGATGCAGGAGTTCTATACCAGATTCAGGATGTGATTTAGCTATGTGTTCTTCCCAACTTGATTTGCTTGTGAACCCTTGGGAGCAGTACAGACAGAAAACCTTTTTTCCGACATCTGAAATGACAATTTACATATGTATTGTAATGCCCATCGTTCAACAGTACATGTACATACAAATAGTGACTAGATATATTGACAGGATTTGTGTTATCATTATCACATTAAATTGGAGAAACAATTTAACTAAATCAAAACCTACTTATATGATCTGCCCTGGTACATTTAAGCAGTCTCATCTCCTGGTGTAAAGAAGATGGTTTGGTCTCTACAACTAATTCCTCTGGATCATTATCATCATCACTTTCCTCTGATTCACTGTAGAGTAAGTCTAGTTCCTCTTCCTCATCATCACTAATTCCATTTGTATCTTGATTATCAAATTTTTCGTCCATTTCAATTTGCCCCTCTCTTTTGAGTGCATTAAATTTTTGTCTTCTTTTCTTTTCCTTGATCACACTTCTCGGCATCCATTCATAGTCTTTCTCCTTACCTATATCAATTATTAATAAATGCCAACTTAATGAATTAATAATGTGCAAACTATAGTTTCTTAAAGTCTGTAAAAGCACTTTGACCTAGATATGCTTTTCAAAATGTCACTAAAAACAAACAAGGCACATGACGTGAATGAAATTACACCATCAAAAAAAACTTTCAAAATGGCCGCTAGAATAAAATGGCTGCCCAGAAGTTCTAGAACTTGATATCCTCTATCATGTGTGCAAAGGAGTGGCATCGATATGGTGAACTGAATTCACCTTTATGAAATGTTGACTGATTGGCATCAATTTAATGCAAAAATTATCTCAATATATCTTATATATTACCTGTTTTTGTTAACATATTTTGTTTTATAGTGCAATTGTTTTTTGTTCCTTTCTACCAATTTTTGAGAATGAAATAAAATGTCTTTCCAAACCTTGTTGGAACAAAATAAATGATGTGAATGAAATAAGCTTATTTCACGAGTTGTAGACAGAATTCCCACAACATTTTAAATTTTTTATCAAAAAAGTGAAAATGTACATGTTTGTGAACAAATAGTTCAGACTCCAAAAGAATCGTTGATTAACGCCTCACTTTTATAACATAAACAGAACTTCAAAAACTGTTAAGATCTGCACTCCTAAACCATTCCATTAATACTCATTACTAGAAAATTAGATATTATACGTCTTTGGAACAGAATTACATTCATGAATAATAATCGTATCACTAAAAGAGTGTTCATGGAAGATTATCAAAATGGGAAAGCAAGTTGGTGCAGCGACTTTAAAAAACTGTGCATTGATTTAAATTTTGAAGAGCACTACCGTGATCAAACATATATTGACTTACGTGTGGCACGAACCAGACTAATGAAGAAACAAAAAGAAAAATGGCATCAGGAAATTCTTGAACAACGTAAATTACTTACATATGTTACTTTTAAAACAGACTTTAAACCAGATCAATTCATTTTATGTGACTTGCCAAGAGGCACTAGATCACTGATTTCACAGTTTCAGTATGGAATTTTACCTTTGCACATTGAAACTGGCAGATTTGTAAATACCAATGTAAATGAGCGTTTTTGTAACATTTGTAAGTCGGGTGAAATCGAAGATGAAAAGCATTTTATTTTTGATTGTAGTGCATATAGGAAAAAAAGAAATGAGTTCTTTGAAAAATTGGAAATAGAGAGTCTGACTTTAAGTGACATTTTTAAAAGTAAAAGATACACTAAGATGTTTGGTCAGTATTTAATTGACATAATGCAGATCAGGAAAGACTTTATTTTTAAACAATAACTAGCTATTTTAAAATGTTCAAATGTGTCTCATAAGCCCAGATAGGGCTGGTTGTATGATATGATACAAGTGACACTTTAATAAAATAAATAAATAAATACTTTGATTAGAAATGAAAAACATAGATTTTAGAAAAAAAATTCCGTAATTATCAAACCAGATGCCATCTTGAAAAAAATATCCTTTCCACCAAGTATTCAAGTTATCTTTTGGACAGATGGACCGAGGGGTCATTCATCAAGCTATCACAATCACTGCAACGTTGCAGACACTGCGACCACCGTGCGACGTCGCAGTGACTGTGACTATGACCTATTCATTTACAAATCACAGTCTGCGATGTCCCTGCGACCAGTCGCAGTGTTTACCACGTGCACGTGCTTGTACACGTGTTTGTTATCCTTTCGAGATCCTCTTGTATCATTTCGTAAAGTTTTATAATGGTTAACCTAGGCATATGATATCGCAAAATAAGGTACACATCATCGTATATTTGAAGAGGATCTGTACGATCTCTAAATATGCGTTCTCTACGCAGAGTGTTGCGGTTGAAATCAACCATCAGTTGCGCCATTTTGAACGAATAAACGTCATGCAAGATTGACAATATGCCATTGATGGATACTGAGTGGGTACAGCCTCCAGGGTTCAAACCACGTGTAACGCACAATCACTGCGACCAGTCGCACGGTGAAGTACTTAAAAATACAAGCCGAAAACTAGCTGTTTTTGATAGCATCACAAACATGTTAAACATAATGCATATGTTGTGCAATTTTAATATATCATGGATCGAATATCGATCTGTACATCCTAGAATTTCCATATAATTTCTTGAACTTAAATCACTGCGACTGGGTACCACCGGTCGCTTAAATTTGGGCCTTTACAGGGGTATTTCACTGCGACGTCGCAGGAAATTCTACCGATCGCAGTCGCACGAGATTGATGAATAGGACGTTATCGCTAAAAAGGGCCCTTGCGACATCCCAGGCTTGCGACATGCTTGCGATAGCTTGATGAATGACTGCTCTGACAGACAGATGGACCAACGGATGGGCTTCACTATATTCCTATCAAACTTCGTTTGTTGGAATAATGAAGGACCCAGGGTCCTGTGCTCACACAGTTTGGAACCTTCAGAGGAATGTATATCCTGACTTTCAAACAAAATTATTGATTTGGATTTGTAGTCTCGAACTTTGAGAAACTTAAATAGAACAGTTGTGTGACCTAGTTTGATGACCTTTGACCTTGAAAATTTCACTTATTCAGAGCTCAGTAAGGTCTTTCGTGATTAAGCTGACCAAAATTTACATCCAAAAACCAATTTGAAAAATCAACTTTCTTGACCTTTCGAAGGTCACTGTGATTTTCAAAAAAAAATTGGTCAAATTGAAGCAAGTTGAAAAATAACTTATTTTTACTGTTTTTTTTTACGTCAAATATCTCAAAAACTGTAAAAATTTGATGCTGACATATATTGAGCAATATGTAGGAAATGCTTAAATCTAGTAATGATGTAATTCATTGCAAGAAATGATCAAGTATAAGGCAAACTTTGAGAAACTTGTCAATCAGAAAACCTGCCATTGACTTTATACATGAGAAAGTTTCCTGAAAATGACTAAGTCCTACTTTTTGTCAAATTTTATAGAGTAAACACCAAAAACTGTAATTCCAAGAGCTTTGAAATCTTCAGAGGACATAAGTTGCATAAACAGCAACTACTACAAGTTATTTGAAAGTTCTACTTCAACAAAGTGTCTAGTATTTACAGAAAATTTGACTTTTTGACGTCAAAATCAGCAATTTCTCGGAAACCGGGCGAACTTGGGAAATGGCGATGATAGGTCAAATAGGAATTATGGATATGCATAAAATGAATGTAGATATGACTCAATCCGAATAGCAGTTTTAATTTGTGCGGCCAATGTTGACGGACGGACGGACGGACCAACGGATGGACCAACGGATGGACGCCTGGTCGTACCCATGGCTCACTGTGTGAGCCAAAAAGTTAGCATCATTCCTTGGGTAATAAGGATTAGAATTTCACTGCCTACTTGACAAAGTTAATAGTAGTATAAATTTAAAATTGGATGCTACCAGACATTTTGAATTGCCTTACAAGCTTTCATGAGTGACAATATAACAAAAAGAATTCCAATGTTCAAGGGTTTTATAAGTGACATCATTACTTCAAAAGTCTAAACTTGAAGACATATGTTCCCGCCAATACCCTAAGACTCCGCAGGTAATTAAGACTTACGTGTTGTAACCCTGCGTAACAAATTCTTCCTTTTCTTTTCCTCTTCTGTCAATGGCAATCTAACCCTACTTCTTTTCTTTGGAGAGGCTACTATTTGAATCAAGCCTGGTGAGAGCTCCCCATGATTACTTCTTCTTGTATCATACCTGGTAATGAATAAAAATCCTGTTAATAAAATAATAACTCAGTAGTTAGACCCCTAAGATGTCTTGGGTGAAATGTTTTAGAGTTAAAACTTTTAATAAATGTAATGTAAATCAACATTTTCTCAAGAGCTTTCGAATAAGAGTGCTTGTTTTATGACCCTAGTCATAATGCTACAGTTTTAGTTAAAACATTTTATGATTGATTGTTCCCTTGACTCTTAACACATATTTTTCTTCATTTTTAAATCCAAAACAACATATTCAAAAATACTCATCAGACTATTTAATTGGTTTTAACTTTGGACATGTTTTTCTCAGATGTTGCCCATTGTGCTTTCTAAAACATATGCCATTAAACTAAATCAGAGATACTTACATTTACAAGCTGAAAAGTGCCCTAATAGGAGATGACTAGATTCTTGATCCAAATACTTTTCCACTCAACGTGTTGAACCAACCCGCAAAATATTTCAAACGAGCACCATTATTATGTTGACATCATTTCAATAAACCTAGTGACATATTTGCAAAATGACAAAAAGGCATAATAGTATAACATTATAACACTGACTAATGACTTCATGCAATGACAGATTCTTTAATGTGACAATTTTGCAAATTTGGTAGAAATATAGGGGGAAAGGCTTATATTCTGATGAGTATTTTCCAAATATGTCATAAGACTTATTTCTTTGATCAGTAATCTTAATCTGTTAGAGTTAATCTGACAGACACATGTGGATAACACACGTATAATAATCTTTGTCTAACAGATTTTGGTAGTTTTCATGTTTTACAACCACCAGAGACCTTTTTGAAATGTTTGATTAATTCAGGTTTATCTTTCATGAACAAATATGATTAATATTTATCGCTATGTTGACCAACACAGAAACACTACTGGGAGTATACTACTTTATTCCATAATACTACTGTTTTCCCAGGGAAATATGAAGGAATAAAAATCGTATTGAATCGTATTACATGAAAAAATCGTTTTGTCCCCAGGAAAAAATCGTATTGGAGCGTATTATATGAAAAAATCATATTGTCCCCGGGAAAAAAATCGTATTGGAGCATATAAACCTATTTTTCGGTTTCCCGGTTATTTTTTCCCAGTTATCTGCATTATCCAAATGTAGCATTTTGGAGGGGTGTATTATGGAATAAATAGGTTATTTCTGGTCGGGATTGAATATGGGTTTTATTCCTCGGTCAATATCTTATTACCCTTCGGTCAATATCATATTGTCCCTCGGAATAAAACCCATATTCAATCCCTCCCAGTAAATAACCCATATATAGTACTGATAAAAAAGCTTGTATGACCATATTTCTGTTTGTATTTTTCTATTCTATATTATTCATGAATGTCATGAGTTATTGCAAACAGGTGAAAGTACTATTAAGTCGTTCAGGTCAAAGTTGGTTGGTGGCTAGTGATTCTGGTTTTCACTCACAATAATCAAAGGCATGAAAATGCTCTAACCTCATCATAGGTAACTAACTACATAACTAATATTGTTCCTGAACAAAGGGTGACTTTGCACAAAATCACCTTGTCTGTTCATCTTAAATATGCAAGTGCATAAAAGGTAACCACTAGAAAACATAACATACGAGTACATGTACATCCTAACATATTTTGTGAAAAATATGAAAAATGGTTAAAAGTAAGCAAGAAAAAAGTAATATTTGAATAAACTATATCTTAAAACTTTCTATTGGGCCTTTAAATGTAGCCTGATAAAACTAAACAGTAAAACAGGACATAACTCAACGAGAAAACAGCAACTCCAAGGAGTAGCAAATCCCACCGAACAAAAAATGTTTTGATAAATAGTGGCCATCTTGAAAATTTCTTCTTCAACAGACCTTGCTTGTCCCTAGGTATTATATACAAGACAAAATCCATCAACTGGTATTTGAGTTATCAAAGATTGCGTCTGAAAAATGGTGGCCATTTTTAAATTCAGCTGTCATCTTGAAAATTTCTTCTTAAACAGAGCCCCTTTATCTCAAGGCATCAGCGTATGAGATTTGATCCAAATCTGTCTACTGGTATTTGAGTTATCAAAGATTAATTTTGAAATTCAGCCACCATCTTGAAAATTCCTTCTTGACCAGAGCTCCTGTGTCCCTTGGTCACGTATCAGCATATAAAATTTGAACCATTCACTGCTACTTGAGTTACCAAAGTTTACATTTTTTCCAAAAAATGGCCGCTATTTTGAAATTCAGCGACAATCTTGAAATTCTCTACTTCAACACAGCTCCTTCATGCTCTTTTAGCATCAGCCTGTAAAATTTGAACCAAATCCATCAACTTGTATTTGGGTTATCAAAGATTAAATTCTTTACGAAAAATGGTGGCCATTTTGAATTGAGCAGCAATATTGAAAATTCCTTCATGAGGAGAGGTCCTCCACCCATAAGGTATAAGACTATAAAGTTTAAACCAAATCTGTAAACAGGTATTTGAGTTATCGTCCGGACAAACAAACTGACTGATGGATGGAGAAATGCACAGACGGATGGCTTAAATTAATTCTCTGTATCCCTACAAACTTTGTTCAGTGGGATAATAATACAAAGTTGAAGAATGAATCAGAAATATTTAATAACAAAATGATTACTATGCAGCTTTTTTATTATCAGTACTTCCTAATGTCCTGTAAATTTTAAACATACCTTGTTCGAGTAGGTGGTTCATTTGCCTTTTTCTTCTGCTTAATTGGCTGAGTCTGTTTTGAGGATGGGGTATTGATACTTGCAGATGTACTTATACTCTCTTGAACAAGGGGCTTGACATCTGCACTTAAGGTCCCAACTGAAATTAAAAAATATTTAGTAAATAAAAAACAAAACATGTTTTTGTTAATAGCGACCACTACTAGAATTCCAGTTATCAAAGATTACGTTCTTTTACGAAAAATGGCAGCCATATTGAAAATCAGCAGCCATCTTGAAAAGGTCTTCTTGAGCAAAATTGTCCATAAGCATCAGCATATATAAATTTCAACAAAATCTGTCAACTGGTATTTGTGTTATCAAAGATTACCTTCGTTTATGAAAAATGGTGGCCATTTTGAAATTCAGCTGCCATCTTAAAAATTCCTTAATGAGCAGAGCTCCTGTGTCCATAGGCATCACAATAAAAAATTGAACAAAATCTGTCTACTGGTATTTGAGTTATCAAAGATAGTTTTTTTTATGAAAAATGGTGGCCATTTTGAAATTTAGAGGCCATCTTGAAAATCTTCTCCTGAACAATGCTCCTTTTTCCCTAGGCATCATTATATAAAATTTGAACCAAATCTGTGAACTGGTAGAGTTATCAAAGATTACATTTTTCATGAATAATGGCGGCTTTTTTGAATTGAGCGGCCATATTAAAAATTCCTTATGAAGCAGAGGTTTTACCCCCATAAGGCATAAGCCTATGAAATTTGAATCAAATTATGTCAATATAGCGTGCAAACTTAGGGTAGTCGTTGTCATTCCAAGATGCCCAAACGTGTCAGGAACAATTAAATACTCGAATCATTTTGATTGGACATCAGGGTGCAGAGAAATCTTAATTTTATTGAGTGGCTTCACGAAAAAATAAGCAGCATTTTAAGCCACCTTAAGACGTTGGTGGTTTAATATGTGTGTGAGTTACATAATATATAATACATGTGAGAGTTTGAATTAGACAAATCTAATGTAGTCTACAAAATTCCGCGCAAGACATGCAGAAAGAGCTATATAGAGACGAGAAGGAAACTAGAAACAAGAGTTAAGGAACATAAAGAAAATGTAGCATTTTTAACTTTAGACTGCCCGATCAACATTAATAGTCAATCATTAGGCTGAAGAAATGTTTCAACCAGGGGCCAACTAGGCGCCGGAAATGTTCAATCAGGCGGGACCCCTGGTGAATCATATTGTGCGGAGATCACTGTACAGTGTACTACTTGTTCTGGCCCAACTTTCATGTATATCTAAACTAGAAAATGGCAACTCCACGGAGTAGCAAATCCCAATGAACACTATATAAATCATCAATATGTACAGTAACAATGTAATATTGACCATCTACTGTAACCTTCAATAAATATTTTAAATCATTGTAGTATCATGTAACCATACTTTCAAGATAACTCTAAGTAATGGGGAATTTCTGCTTTAGTCAGCCCTTTTGAATTTTCAGAGGCGCAAATCAAAAAAATGCCATAATTGTGATCTACTCTGAAATTCCTTCAATTTGAGTATAATATAGCCATACTTTTAAGAGATCAGAAAATAATTACTAAATCCCGTATTAGGCAGCCATTTTGAGGACTGAGGACCCCAGTGTTAGAACTTTAGAAGCAAGTTGGAAAAATATTTAAAAAATTGACTTTTTTTCACCTTGAGAAGGTCATTGAGGGTCAAATCTAAGGTCAGATTTGAACTTCTGAGAACTTGTAGATGCTTTTAAAAAATATTAGTCAGTCTAAACAGAATTGGTTAAGTTATTGAAGTTGTAAGAATTTGTTACAGATACCCACCACAAGACGCCAACCGAAAGATGCCCACAAAAAGTTGGAGACCATCACAATATGTCACCACTTTTGGTGATGACATAAAAACTAATTTTTACATATGCTGAATTAAATGCAGAACTCCAGAAAACTGATTACAACAAAAACACAGGCCATTCTTTGTGGTGACATAAAATGCATGTCTTAGGTAAGTTTTTGAAATACTTACCTTTTGCTGTATCAGCTTCATTCAATGGTTCACAGGGTTCTAGAGTCATATTATAATCATAATCATCATAGTTGTCACCATCTGGATCACTTTCATAATTGTTAATATCATCTCTTGTACCATCATCATTAATGCTTTCATTAGATACTTGAGGTTCATGCTCAATCTCAATATCAGAGACACGAATGGTTCCACCTTCAAGCAACTGGGGGAAACGGCTTGTTATGTTCTTAAGTTCAACTAAAGGTTCACTGAGTTTTTTTAGCCTAGGCAACTTTACAACTGGTGCCAAATCATCATCTTTATTCCCATCTTTTTTTTTGTTTCGTTTACTTCTAGGTCCAGCTTTAGGCCTACTTTCTATCCACATTTGTGTTTCTGTAGCTAGGATCCCATCATTCTCAGCAGAACTGCTTGCAAGAACAGGGTGAGCTTCTCTACTGTCTGTTAATGCTACACTATTAAGTTGTTCACCATTAGCAATGTCTTGTGAGTCATGAAAATCAGAGCCAATATCATTAAATATTGTTGCATGGAAAATTGGCTTCTCTTCATTATGATTTAAACAATCAGGAGGTTCTTCTTTGATTTCATGTGAAAAAGGAGCAATCACCCTGATTAGGTCGTCTACACCCAAGTAATGAGCCAAGATATCTACAGCTCCAATGTAATTATCTTCCACAATGATCATTTCACCATAAATAAAGCTCAACACATGCTGTAAAACTTCAATTGAGATATCTGGCATTGGAATCACAATAGTGTTGTCTGAACACAGCACTTCTGCAGTTTTACAGAAGGTGTACACTATAGCTTTATGGGCAGTGAGTTGTGAATTGTCTGATAACTGGATGGTTATGTCACAGAGCTTCTTATCTTTCCGCAACTCGACGATCCGTGACCTGAAGTCAAAGTTGCTGAGGCTATGAAGTTTCCCATTGTGAGACATGATTGCAAATACTGCTTGCACCTGAAAAACATTCAGATACAGTATAAGAAATGAATGAGGTTTAGACAAACAGTTTCATATAGGTCATCAAATCATTAGTCATTAGTTTCATTTTCAAACATACACAAGTTGCTGGAAAATAGTTGAAGTATTCCAGTATTCCCAGACTGATTAGGCCTAAAGTTGGATTCGAACATGACTGTATTCACGCCTTCTATAAACTGTAAACAAAGTCAATGCTTCAGCTGGGTTATATTCGAGATCAATAACCCAGTTAATATGTGTAATGTGTGACGTCATAACGATGGGTCGTAGTAATGGCGGACCATGATGAATATTCGAAACAATTTGGTGAGTTTTCATGTTTGAATCATAATATAGACCTCAGAGCAGGGGTAATATCGTCGAATGCAACCCTTGGGACTAGGCACAAAAGCTTTCGAACCCCTCACTCCCTTCGGTCGTTCGGGGTACAGAAAACGTTTGTGCCTAGCCCTGTGGGGTGTATTCGACGATATAACCCATGCTTTTCGGTCTATATTTCTTAATTCAAAACTCTCTTGAGTACTTTGAATTTAAAAAATAAGCAGTCAAATGACCATATTGAAACAGTATATGTAAAAATAGAAACATTCATACAATGCCTAACTTTTGTATATTTCAGTTTGTTTTGCAGTTTGGCTGTCATATCTGTGGCCTCTTTTGATGCTTCTCTGCCATGTTATTTTCGAAAAAATTAATATCGTAAACATGGCTGAAACTTCCTAAATTACTTAAGGCCACAGCTTTACTGCACATTACATCTAACTATAGCATTCTTAGATGAGGAGATTGCAACAGAAATGCTAATGCATTATGGCAAAAAATGCCTAGACATACAGAACACATACAATACATGGTTATAATCAAGTGCAATCATATGTATCAGAATTCCTCCTTTATGAAAAGGAAAGAATACTTGAAAATACTTCCAATGATAACTCAGATCTAGATCACTAGATCTTGGAAAATACTAATTAAATTATGTTCATTTTTTCAGGAAAAGAAAGAAGATACTGTGTATGTATAGCTCCTGTTGTTAGTAAGTTGTAAAACATGATGCATTGGACACCTTCCCAAAAGACAGTTGTACTAGGAAAATACTTTACAGTCATGGTCAAAATGCCTTCTGAAGTCTGCCTGAATCAGGGCGTTTGACTGCGATTTGAAAGCATTTTGAGCATTACTGTTAAGTCCCTAAAGTGATTTTGATTTCACTACACAGATTTACCATACAGTGAATGAAGATGATTTGTGCCAAATTTGAAGAGCCAAAACACTATGGTTAGGAAGTTATTTAGTTTTTTGTGGTTGCAGTAACCCCTGATTGGGTTTTTCATATTTTCCTAGTACAACTGTACAAATTTTTTGAAAAATGAACCCTTCTACAGATCCGGAGCCAGATCCAGCCCCTGTTGGTAGAAGGCTCAAAGGATAAATGGGAAGATGAGACACGAGCCAAAAATGGCACAACAAAAAAATGACCACCCAAAAATATGACCTTCGTACTGACCTTTATTTTTTCCATCTGTCAGACATTGATTGATCAATATTTACCCTGTAATATCTTCTTTATGTATTAGTTTGAATGGTTGCATGATATCCATTATTGATGCTGTAATTCGACTTTTCCCGGGACATTTATTTCAAATTTTCAGAGCGTAAAGATAGTGGAGCACTTCGGTAATTTCCAGCAGTGTCCGATGTTGTTCGTCTCTCAAATTACGTCACATTGCAACAAACAGCCAATGAAAGTAAAGAATCGCGTAGCCTAATAAACCGTCGTTATTGTTTCTACGGGAGTTTAAAGAAACATCATGGGACTTCTCGGTAATCTCTGATGTGACGTCATCCGGAGTGGCGTCAGATTCTCAGAAAAGGCATTTGACTTCGGGAATAATCATTTGAACAACGGAGATAGCCGAAGTGCTCCATTAAATGTACGCTCGCTTATTTTATGCTTTTATCAACAGACGCTTTCTTGGATGTTTGGCTTTAGCGATTGGAGTTGAAGCTAACAGCATAGATCCCGGCCAGATTTTTTTGTAGTAAGATCAGTAGCTCAATAAATTTTCCTCAAGATGAGACACCTCAGAAAATTTCAAATTTTAAAATGACGATTATGGAGCCATTTCTGAAAAATATGAGACAAATCATACCTCATTCGAAGCATCTTGTTATTCTTTAACTTTTTTATCACCAATGACTGTTATTCAAGCAAGTCTGCGTTGATAAGAGGCCAAAACAGTGATATTTTATCGCCAGACTCTTGTCTGTCCAAATCTGAATGGTGCTCCCGTGGTTCCAGAAATGTGACGTCATCAGTACAATGATATTTGGACACACAAGAGTCCGGATCTCGTGAAAAATATTCGCCGTATTAAAAGTCAGATAACTGCATCCATAGGTTATTTACTCGAACCAAACAAGTAGAAATAGAAAGATGAAGATCTCAGCTATAAAATGAGTGCAAAATCTGTCATGGGGAAGCAGGTACCATTTTGTATACGGAGTAGCTCCAGGACCGACAATTGTCGGTACTGGAGACCGTCCAGGGGTATTTGCTGGGGTACCGACAATTGTCGGCACTCTATCGTCACCTAGTAGTGCCAGATAGAGAACCGACAATTGTCGGTACGCAAGTGGCTGCTACGTGTTTTTGCTAATTTAGGCATAATTTAGGTAGAAATGTGTATTTTACGACGTTATATGCATGGTTGAATCCAAAAAGTAGCGTCATTCAGGAAATTATCATGTGTGCATAAAATCATGTGGATATTTCATTTTGAGTAACTGAATTATCAAATTGACATATATATTGTCTTTGGAACATCACCTCAGGGCTGTCAACTTGGGACCACCTAATATGAGTGACTTACAAATGTTGGACACCGAAGTCCAAATCTGAACACTTTTGTCCAAATTTTGAACACCTTTGGCCAACTTTTAAACACCTTTGGCCACAGTTTGAGCACCTTTGCTAAACTTTTATCACCTCAAATTTTTCGCGCTCGCTACGCTCGCGATGTCGTCAACGGGGGGGGGGGGGGGGGGGGGGGGTAGGTACGAAAATTTCCAATGAACATGCGTGACATATACGGGATTCGCGTGACAAATCCGAACAAATTGCGTTCGTTTTTTTCCGACGTTCGTATTTTTACCGTATCATGAACATATTTTGAAAAAATTTTTACAGAAACATATTTGCGTGACAATTACCAGGTAAAATGCGTATTTGCGTGACATTTTGTGTCACGCAAAAAAAACTGGCGTGACTTCAAATTCTTCAGCAAATGCGTGACAAATACGCAAATTGCGGGACAGTTGACAGGCCTGTCACCTTTACACAGAATTATTTTTATAATGATTGCTCGATTTTTTCCATGATGAAATGCAATTTTAGACCTGGAGCTGACTCGTATCAAAAAGTATTTAGCAATGAGTTCAGGCTCACTGATTTTAAAGATAGATAAAATGAACGAAAGGGAAAAGGTTATGTGTGCCTAAAAGCATGTGGATATTTAACTTTCAATAAATGACTTACAATTTTGATGTTTATATAATCTGAAGAACATCACCTTTACACATAATTATTTTTATGATAATTGTTCGATTTCTTTCATGATAAACTGCAATTTAAGACCTGACACGTATTAAAGAAGTATCGGACAATGTATTTCAGCCCACTGATTTTTAGGATAAATAAAATGAGCAAAAGAAGAAAAGGTCATGTGTGCGTAAAAGCGTGTCAGTATTTGGATTTGAAGAAATGAATTAAAGTTTTGACATTAATATTATTTGTGAAGCATCACCTTAACATAGAATTATTTTTATAATTTTTGCTTGATTCCTTCCATGAGAAAATGCAATTATAGACCTGGCACGCGTATCAAAGAAGTATTTGGCAATTGCGTCCAGTCTCATTGGTTTTAAAGGTAAATGAAATATGAAAAACTGGAAAAGGTCATGTGTGCGTAAAAGCGTGTCAGTATTTATTTTTGAAGAAATTAATTAATTTTTTGACATTAATATTATTTGTGAAGCATCACATCTACGCAGAATTATTTTTATAATTTTTGCTTGGTTCCTTCCATGAGAAAATGCAATTATAGACCTGGTACACGTATCAAGGTTGTGTTTAGAAATTGCGTTCGGTCTCCTTGGTTTTCAAGGTAAATTAAATGAGCAAAACTGGAAAAGGTCATGTGTGCTTAAAAGCGTGTGAGTATTTAATTTTTGATAAATTTTTTGACATTTTTGACATTTATTATATCTATGGGGAATCATCTTTCAGAATTATTTTTTGATTCAAATTTAGTTCCTTCTATTAGAAAGGCATGGCTAAGATTGGTTCTTATGTACAACTGTAATGAGATTTTTATGTTTGAATCGCACAAAAAGAGATAATGTCACATGTGCGTGAATGCATGTCAATATCTTATTTTAAAACTGAATTATGATTTTGACAAAGCTGTAGGGCAGGCCAAACAAGGAAGATGGACCAACTGGGAGGCAGCTCTACAGAGACCTCTTACTTGGAAAGAGCTTTGGACCCAGGATCAGGGTCGCCTCAGCTTTCTTCTGCGCGCATTCACTGACCTCTTACCAACGCCAGCCAATTTGAGAGTATGGGGTAAAGAAGATTCTGACAAGTGTGCACTTTGTAAGGGAGACTGCTGCAACCTGCGACACATCCTCAGCTCTTGCCCCCAATCCCTGAGTGAAGGAAGATTCACATGGAGACATAACAAGGTACTCCAAGAAGTCTCTAAGTACATAGACCAGCAAAGAGGCATTGCCAATAGAGGTTCCATCACTCAACGGCAAAAGCAAATAGAATTTATCAGGGAAGGAAAACCCAAAGCTGCAAAGACCCCCAAACCACAACCCAAGCCAAGCATTTTAGCCAAAGCAACAGATTGGCAACTCCAGGTAGATCTCTATCAGAAACTAGTCTTCCCACAGAATGTGGCCGTAACAACCCTGCGCCCAGACATGGTTATGACTTCCAGTTCAACCAAGACCATTATCATCATCGAACTAACAGTCCCATGGGAGGATAGGCTAGAGGTTTCACACGAGATCAAAGCAACAAAGTATCAAGACCTTAAAGACGAAGCTGAGACAAGAGGGTGGCACGCATCCGTCTTCCCTATCGAAGTTGGTTGCAGGGGGTTTCCAGCAACATCAGTCAGAACCCTATTATCCAAGATAGGATTGCAACCCAAGGAGCTCAAGAGTGCCTTAAAGTCTATCAGCTCAGCAGCAGAAGACAGCTCCAGATGGCTGTGGATCAGAAGAAGAGATAAGAGGAACCCAAAGGCGACCCAGTCCACCTAAGTCCCACTAGAACAATGCTTGTTTATGTGGTCCACCACCAGACCACAGGTGTTCCATATGATAGCTCATATGGACGGGGAGTATACAGCAGGAGGCGCTTACTCGGCCGAACCCGACCTCACACCGATATTCAAGCATGTCCTAGTCCCCCCTTTGGCATGCCATTCCCATTCCTCAGTCCAATATGTCATGTAGCGAAGCATCATGGATGTTTAACAAATGACATTTTCATAAGCTTTAAACCATTGCCTTTCCACATATTTATTTATTTTAACATGAGATCTTTAAACACGTTCATAACTGAACAGTCAATGTAAGTTGAATTAAAATAAAAAACATCAATTATCTGCGCATTTTCGTTATATTACCTCATACGGGATTTCGTGCTTTTAAGTGGGCTGAAAGTGGAAATGGCACGTGTGCGAAAACGTTTGTTATCAATTCATCTTTCAAATCACATTTTTATTTTTTACATATCTATGATCTATGATATAAAACCTATATCATATTGCTAGGTTAATTCAATAAGCAATTCTGAGGTATATTTGAACTTTAATTCCATAGCAGATGTAATTCGGACAAAAGTTTTAAAATTCAAGAAGAGATTAAATCAATCAAAATAAATCTTATAATTCAAACAAGTCGACAATACTTGGTTCAGTTCTTTCATTTTCAATCATACCACGGTCATAGATTAACATAAGTGACCGTTCGAAAACATACCATTTTTGTAGAAAATGAAAGAAAATCGCGTTATAACATGTATCGAGCAATTGTCAAGTTCACGTCTTAAGTTTGATGTGGTAAAAAGCATTCTTCATTAGTCACACATTTAAGTTAAGGGAAGCCAAGATCATTTTAAAAATGAAACATTTGAATAGATATTTTTAACATTGAAATACTTTTAGAAAGTAAGCTTATACTAGTAGATTTCTTAGAACTAGCTGTTTGGAATTCATCAACTTTTCTCCACAGGATAATTTCGTAGTACAAATGCAGGTCATTCAAAGGAAATATAGGTTTCAACATCCCCGTCTATGAATATTGATCTTTTTCAGACAGCAAATTGAAGTTTAAAACAGAAATGCTTCTTACGAATCCAAATTACATTTTAAACTTAGAATTGTGATCTACGATCTTATGGGTATGTCACAAATTTGATTAGATACATTCACTCAGCAGGCTGTTAAACATGTAATTAACTTTACAAGCGTAACTATAGGTAACTTCGATTTTAGTATGTTCAAGTTCAAGTTCTGTAGTCTCGAGAGTCAAACGATAATCATTGTTTATTTGGCCTGCTTTTAGAATTGGGAAAACAAAGGCAAAGTTTATGTTTTATGAACATTCCGATTTGAAAGCAAACTTTATTTTTGAGTGTATTAAATCAAATAAAGCTTATTGCGTCGGGACCTGTACGTTCGCCCAATTAAAGGCAAATGTGCCGTCAATTAAAGATACATGCATAGTGGTACACCGTTTTTGGAAAACATAACACTGATAATAAAAATTCATCTATTGTTATGAAATTTGCACCATCATTAAAAAGAATCTCGAATTTCATGATGACAAAATATCGGGTAAATATGACAAGAAATAAAAATTTGTTACATTTTTTCCCAAAAAGTTGTAAAATAAAAATAAACTAAAAAAATAATATTTTCACGACAAAAAATAAATAGTTCAACTGTATTGATTATACATGACGTTTTCAAAGAGTAGAGAGCTAGATTCAAAGCACCGTTCCTGCAAGTTTCAAATGAAAATATTAAAAAACGCGCGCGTATGAGAACCGCAACTTTCTATGTCTGCACTGACAAAAACTTGAAATCCCCGCTGTAAAAATATAGTCCCACGCGGATGTGCACGTCATAAAACTGATGGGTTAAGGCAATGTGTCCTCCTACTGGTTAGGGGAGGGGATGCTTTCGCCCCCATCGACCTCTACCCTTACTATACGCCATGGCACAGGAGAAATATCTCATTTGGAATATATCACTGTTTACTTTGCGTTTGGTAGCTCTCTCATGCGAGATTGAATCGTGGCCATTAGTACTAACTAAGGGAGCCAAATGCAACTTCCATCAAAAATTGTGCTATAAGGTATGGGTACCGTAATCCAACACCAAATTCGAAAATTCATAACAATACTTTGCACATATGGCGTTCGTGACCAACTATAAAACGCTTACCCCCCATAGTGTTATATATCAAAATGCACCTGTCCATATAGGGGTTCGATTGACCTACATCAAAGTATAGGGAGTCAGGTTACTTTTGAGATATCAGCGTCCGTTTATTGTAACTCGCGTTTGCTACCACTTCCTCAATTCTGATATTACGGGCAAACGCGTAGTAAACATGCTCACGTTCGGAACTATTTTGACCTACATCGCTATTTTCGTAGTTCAAATGAACTCCTCTTTATTTTGATACCAAATAGTGGCATACTAGGTACCCTAGAAGCCAACTATGGGTTATTTAGAACGATACCACAGGTTTTTAAATGGACTATATAGGCGGACTATATTGGCGGATGGATATGGAACCTCATACCATACGATAAGCTTCAAATAAAAAACATTCTAGCTACTAGTATTTTCTTCTATCTGATGGGTAGCAAACGCCCCTTTCTACGCCTGATCGGCTCAGGAGAAATATCCTGTCTGTTACGAATATATATAGCCGTTTACTCTGCATTAATAGCTCTCTAACGGCTTACTTGTTCATGTTTTTTATTGGGTTTTCAACGTTTACTACCATTCCCTGTTCCCGGGCTACCATTTTTTGACTGGGTTTGGTAATCCCCGGGTAACCGGGGCTAATGCCCTCCCCGGGTTTTGCACCTGTTCCCAAAATATCCGTATGATATCTGAAATATCCCCCGCCCATTGCGCATGCGCCAGAAAATGCGAAAATCAATATTTGTCGGTCCTCTAGCGTGTAAACACAGCATATCTGCCGTACCGACAATTTATTTGTCGGTCCTCTAGCGTGCAACCACATCAGAGTCTAGAGTACCGACAATTGTCGGTACTCTAGCCTTTACGTTTTGTATAAGAAACATTTTTAAAAGGTGGTCATATTTTTGAAATTTTCCAATTTAGTGTCGTATCTTGTGAATTATTCTTTGAGCCTATGAGATCCTACTAATCTGGCCAATATCTGTGGAATGAGGTATGATTTGTCTCATATTTTTCAGAAATGGCTCCATAATCGTCATTTTAAAAATTTTGAAATTTTCTGAGGTGTCTCATCTTGAGGAATATTTATTGAGCTAGATCTACTGATCCTACTACAAAAGAATCTGGCCGGGGTCTATGGAGGAATGCATCTGTTCTGAGAGTGGGGAAGGGCAAAAAGCTCCGTTAGGCCTAAAAATGACTTGATACAACTTCCTGTGGTAATACTCACCGGTTAAAAGTGTTAAATTACATTTTTAACATTTGTATTATTTCCGGTGATTTTCGGATCTCGTTCCAAATCACGATCCCACGAGGAGTCGACCCAGTCTGCAGATTTCAGTAAAACTCGCAAACACACAACATTCTAAAGTCCCAGTCTAAAGTTTGAGAATATTTTTTTATCATTCATTTACTATTTGTCAGGACTTAAAAAGTGATTTTAGAGATTTTTGAACAAAAACAAAAAAAATTTAAAAAAAAATTGGGAGCATTTCAATTCAAATTTTCCGCCATTTTTCAAAAAAAGTTGAAATATCTTAATCATCAAATATTTCTTAATGCATTTCAAAAAAGATTATCTTTTTAACACTAATGCAAAGATTGAACAAAGGACACACTATTTCAATAATAAAATGCCATATCTAGGCTAATGGGCCAATTTGATGTCAATCTTTTCTAAATATGCTAGACTTTCAAAAAACCAATGTTGATTGTCAAACAGGTTAAAAGGAAGAATAAATTATGTTTTAGATATCATTGTAATTACTTCGGTCCAAAGCCTTCTCCAAGCTAGAGACTCGAGTAACATTGTACCATTGGTTTCTACTATCTATGAGAACTAAAATTTTGAAATGAATTTTTCTCAGAACATTTTCATGCACTGATTAGTTCATTTAGTTCATTTCTCGCTTATTTATGAACCGATTTCTTAATTCTTTTGGCAAAAAACATGGGAGGATGAATGCTATGCATTGGTATGAATTGTGGCTAATTAGAAGATATGAGTGACCTCTAAAAGTTGGTTTTAAATAAATTCACAAATTTTGGAACAAAACCCACTTTTTGAAATTAAAAAAAAAAGTTTCACATATCACACTTTGATAACATTGAGTAAGACTACAATATAAGCCAAAGTGGTTTAAACTTTATATGGGGCCTTTAAATGGCAAGGATGGTTGCAGATATATTCCCTAAATTATTGTCACCTTTATATTTAACATGGCGAGGATGGTACTAAGCCCCTCTTGGTTTAACATGGGCTTTCAATCAATCCTTATGCACATTTATGAATAAAATATGCACTAATGGTTGATGTGATACTATTTTGGTATCATTTGCAGATATTTTCCCTTAATTATTGTCACCTTTATATTTAACATGGCGAGGATAGTACTAGGCCCCTCTTGGTTAAAATCAATTCTAATACAGTTGTTAATGTCTTCCGATTTTGGTAGCCCTTGCAGATATATTCCCTAAATTATTGTCACCTTTATATTTAACATGGCCGAGGATGGTACTAGACCCCTCTTGGTTTAAAACAATTCGTTATTATGAATAAAAATGAACAAATATTATATTTATATGCACTCAATTGTCAATTTGTTACGGTTTTGGTAGCCCTTACAGATATATTCCCTAAATTATTGTCACCTTTATATTTAACATGTCCGGAGGATGGTACGAGACCCCTCTTGGTTTAAATCAATTCTTATGCATATTTATGAATAAAAATGAACATACTATGTTTATATGCACTGTAACTATTGGTCAATGTGTTACGATTTTGGTAGCCCTGAAGATTTATGTTTACATGCACTATTGCTCAATGTGTTACGATTTTGGTAGCCCTTGCAGATATATTCCCTAAATTCACACCGGAATAGCCTGACTACGGTAAATTCAGATACCGTTGTCACGAATGGCGGACATAACCGTCGCTTCAACTGTTTAATCACTTGGTCCTCATTTCATGGGATTTTATCGTCGTTAATTCTGTGCATGCATTAAAGAGAGAATCAGAGATAGCGAGCAGGCTAAACAAAAAATTGTTTCAATTTTAGAATATTTTTGGCTCATGTCATTCCTTGTAATGTCTATTTTCTAAAAATCACAAAAGTGCATACTTTACTCAAGGAAAACGAAAGATTTTTACAATAATGTATTATTTTTCTATAAGAATGGTTACCATTCTTATTATTTGGGAGAATTTAAACATTTGTCACCCATTTTTGCACTTTGAATCATTAATAACTTCACCAATTTATAACATATTGTGAATCTTTTGGGAGATATTGTATTTGATATTGTAAGGAATAGATTGGTAGGTCAATTATGCATGTTGCATGTAATTTTGTCACCCCCTATAGATCCGATTCTACCTTTAAGCTCTTGTGATAATGTATCATATGAAATCCCATTTTCGATCAAATTGGGTCGTGAATCGCCACAATACAGCTTCTTCGATATCGTCAATGACAACGGAATCTGAATTTGAGTAATTTAGAAAGACAACGGCATATGGTAATTACAGTGTCCGTTGTCCTGTATCTCATTTTGATCGGTTAAATTAAAGACTTTATTTCGATGGTAGAACATTATTAATTGTACAATGAGTATTAAGACACTTTGATTGATTGTTGTTCCTAAGGAATTAAGTCTAGGTGCTCAATTAAACATACAGTTCATGAAAATCTAATTGAAGCGACGGTTATGTCCGCCATTTGTGACAACGGTATCTGACTTTACCGGCCGTAGTCAGGCTAATCCGGGGTGAAATTATTGTCACCTTTATATTTAACATGGCGAGGATGGTACGAGGCCCTCTTGGTTTAAATCAATTCTTAGGCTCTTTGTTTTGCGTCTAGACGAAATGGCCAATAAATTAATGTGCGTCAAAATTGACTATTATTGATTACTATGGCATACATTGTGTATTTTCTTATTTTTAAACTTGAATAATACCTATATTTAAATATATTGTATAAAATGTATAGATGTGTGTTTGTATCACTGCAAATTGGTATGCCAACCCTTTTATGCCCATAAAATGTATACATTTCTCAGCAAACAAGTTTGTGTTTATTCTTGAGTTTGTGTTTGTTTTCCTTGTACCCTTGCATGATTTGGATTTTGCCAGGACGCAAAACAGAGAATCTAATTCTTATGGCCATATTTATCAATGAATATGATGAAATATATGATGAAAACCGGTATATTCTGCAAGATAATGAGCTATGATGAAACTGATGTTGAAGATGAGAAAGTTAAATTTATGACGAAAAGGAAACAATTTTTCCAATGGCCAGATCAAGAAGACTTTAAATGGGCGGCCAAAACCCAAGAACTTTGTGAAATAAATGAGCAACTCAACGAGCTGCAGGCAAAGGTCGGTTGTTGAAAATAACGGCTGATGATATTTAATGTGGAACTTATCGCACAGCTGTTTAGTGCGAGAAAAAAGACTAATTATACATCTAAATTAACGTGACTTGTTCTTGTGTGACATTGTCAATCACCTTTCCACAAAGTCAGCTCATGAATATTATAAAAATCTGTGACGTCAATGAGAGAAACTTTTTCCCGCGAAAAACAAATGCAATTGAGATTACATGTAAATCCTCGGTTGATTGCTGTAAGTTTTACCTCTTCAAATGTGCAAGTAATCAGTAAATTATGGACAGATTTTTATTGAACGTCAAATTGACATTTATTCATACGCCTTGTGAGCGAATTAAATATTAAATTTCTGTTCATAATGAGTAAATAATCTGAAGAGAATTACTCCCAGTCAGTTTTCAATCATGATAGGAACTGTGAAATTATCATAATCATTAGTTCACCAACATTATAACATGTCTCTCATGCATAAAAATATATACACCCTATGCAGACAGAGCCTGTGGGAAATATTGGGGGCGGCGCAAATGAGCGGAGGGTGCGGAGCTAACGGTCATTTTTGAATTTAAAATTGGGATATTTCTGAAACTAAGCCGTTTTGGGACTTCAAATATACCAAGATATGTGTATTTGACACCAAATATCAATAAAATTGTGAAAATAGTAGTGCAATTCATTTTATAGCGACGCAGTATGCCTTAAACATTTCCCAGACCTATATATTTTGAGACTATCCTTTTAATACTGCGTCCCCAGCATTCATAAAAAATGTATGGTGTTCAAGATACACTACCCATGCAAATTATTTTTGCATCTTGGAAGCCAGGCAGTATCTGTGTGATTTTATAAAAATTCGGAAATGTTCTTCAGATATGAGCCCCCTCTAAATATTGGGTGCGGAGTAGCTCCATAAACGTAGCTCCGCACCCAATATTTAGAGGGTATATCTGAAAAAATTTCCGAATTTTTATAAAATTACACAGATACTGCCTGGCTTCCAAGATGCAAAAATAATTTGCATGGGTAGTGTATCTTGAACACCATACATTTTTTATGAATGCTGGGGACTCAGTATTAAAAGGATAATTTCAAAATATATAGGTCTGGGAAAGGTTTAAGGCACACTGCGTCGCTATAGAATGAATTGCGCTACTATTTTCACAATTGTATTGATATTTGGTGTCAAATACACATATCTTGCTATATTTGAAGTCCCAAAACGGCTTAGTTTCAGAAATATCCCAAATTTAAATTCAAAAATGACCGTTAGCTCCGCACCCTCCGCTCATTTGCTCCGCACCCAATATTTCCCACAGGCTCTGTCTGCATAGGGTGATATAGATAGACAATCTATTTAAGTTAATCTTCAGTGTCATTTAATGAATGACCTGTTCAAATCAAAAACATTTGCTCTTATTCATTAAATCATTGACTTCACTACTCCCATAATTCAATGAACTAAACGATTACTTCCTATTTATTTCTGCAAGTCATATCAGATCGTATCTTGAAAATATTATACTTGAAAACATCGGAATATAGAATTGATATCTTGGAGGAGCGTGACATGTACATGTGTATATATTCCAATGTATATGTCACATATTTCCCGCTGCGTATCTCCCGATCTAAATATTCCCGGGAAAAAAATGTTTTTTATTCAGTGTAGGAACAGTCAATTTGTTAAAATATCTTGCTAAAGCAAAACTGTCAAAATAGATCCAGCAGACCGTAGAATTTTTCTTAACCAAAATGATAATGGATTTCTCGAAAATAATGAGAATGAGAACGCTTAATAGAAAACAAACCTGGATATGATGCAGGGTGTCCTGAAACTTCACTTGTGCAACCTCATTTTTCATAGGATAAATTAGTTGTGATGATCGGTTTTGAATAATGATC